AAGCATTCCTGTGCATCAGAAACATCCAATTCTGCTGCCACCGCATCACAGAATTACAACGATGATAATAGAAAATGCGCATTTGTTGAACCTACATGCTGGTTCACAAACTTTATTATCTTATCTACAACAAAGATATTGGATTGTTCGAGGAAAGGATGCTGTGAGGAGGATCATTCGAAAATGTGTCATCTGTACAAGAAATCGAGCAGAAACCATGCAACAGATGATGGCAGATCTACCTTCATTTCGAGTAACTCCATCCCATACTTTCCAGAAATGTGGAATCGATTATGCTGGACCTTTCTTGATTCGACCTATTACACCCAGAAGTAAGGTGACATGAAAGGCATATTTAGCGATATTCATTTGCTGTGCGACTAGAGCCATACACTTAGAAGTTGTTAGTTCGGCCAGCACTGAAGCATTTATTGCTGCCTTAAGAAGATTCATAGCTAGGCGAGGCAAGCCATCAGACATATACAGCGATAACGGCACAAACTTTGTCGGAGCTGACAAGGAGCTAAAGGAGTTGCAGAAACTTACCGACAATGTAAGCCACAATAATCAGATCGCATTAACAATGTCTAAGGAAGGAATATCTTGGCATTTCAACCCACCTTCAGCGCCACACTTCGGAGGACTCTGGGAGGCAGGGGTTAAATCGACCAAATACCATCTTAGAAGAATAATGGGATTAAATCGATTAACATTCGAAGAGCTGACAACTCTTACCGTTTAAATTTTGTTTTCACCGTTTAGATTTCTTCCTAACCGTCTAGATTTCTTCCTGACCGTTTAAATTTTGTTTTCACCGTTTAGATTTCTTCCTAACCGTCTAGATTTCTTCCTGACCGTTTAAATTTTGTTTTCACCGTTTAGATTTCTTCCTAACCGTTTAGATTTCTTCCTGACCGTTTAAATTTTGTTTTCACCGTTTAGATTTCTTCCTGACCGTTTAAATTTTGTTTTCACCGTTTAGATTTCTTCCTAACCGTTTAGATTTCTTCCTGACCGTTTAAATTTTGTTTTCACCGTTTAGATTTCTTCCTAGCCGTTCAGATTTCTTCCTGACCGTTTAAATTTTGTTTTCACCGTTTAGATTTTTTCCTAACCGTTTAGATTTCTTCCTGACCGTTTATATTTGTTTTTTACCATTTAGATTTCTTCTTGACCGTTTAGGTTTGTTTTTCATCGTTTAGATTTCTTCCTAACCGTATAGATTTCTTCCTGACCGTTTAAATTTTGTTTTCACCGTTTAGATTTCTTCCTAACCGTTTAGATTTCTTCCTGACCGTTTAAATTTTGTTTTCACCGTTTAGATTTCTTCCTGACCGTTTAGATTTCTTCCTGACCGTTTAAATTTTGTTTTCACCGTTTATATTTCTTCCTAACCGTATAGATTTCTTCCTGACCGTTTAAATTTTGTTTTCACCGTTTGGATTTCTTCCTAACCGTTTAGATTTCTTCCTGACCGTTTAAATTTTGTTTTCACCGTTTAGATTTCTTCCTAACCGTTTAGATTTCTTCCTGACCGTTTAAATTTTGTTTTCACCGTTTACATTTCTTCCTAACCGTCTACATTTCTTCCTAACCGTTTAGATTTGTTCCTGACCGTTTAAATTTGTTTTTCACCGTTTAGATTTCTTCCTAACCGTTTATATTTCTTCCTGACCGTTTATATTTGTTTTTTACCATTTAGATTTCTTCTTGACCGTTTTGATTTGATTTTCATCGTTTAGATTTCTTCCTAATTGTTTAGATTTCTTCCTGACCGTTTAAATTTTGTTTTCACCGTTTAGGTTTCTTCCTAACCGTCTAGATTTCTTCCTGACCGTTTAAATTTTGTTTTCACCGTTTAGATTTCTTCCTAACCGTTTAGATTTCTTCCTGACCGTTTAAATTTTGTTTCCACCGTTTAGATTTCTTCCTAACCGTTTAGATTTCTTCCTGACCGTTTAATTTTTTTTTCACCGTTTAGATTTCTTCCTAACCGTTTAGATTTCTTCCTGACCGTTTAAATTTTGTTTTCACCGTTTAGATTTCTTCCTAACCGTTTAGATTTCTTCCTGACCGTTTAAATTTTGTTTTCACCGTTTAGATTTCTTCCTGATCGTTTAAATTTTGTTTTCACCGTTTAGATTTCTTCCTAACCGTTTAGATTTCTTCCTGACCGTTTAAATTTGTTTTTTACCGTTTAGATTTCTTCCTGACCGTTTAGAGTTGTTTGTTACCGTTTAGATTTCTTTCTGACCGTTTATATTTCTTGCTGATCGTTTAGATTTCTTTTTTACCGTTTAGATTTTGTGTTCACCATTTGGACTTCTTTCTGACCGTTTACATTTCTTGCTGACCGTTTAGATTTGTTTTTTACCGTTTAGATTTCTTCCTGACCGTTTAGATTTGTTTTTTACCGTCTAGATTTCTTCCTGACCGTTTAGATATCTTTTTTACCTCTTAGATTTCTTTTTTACCGTCTAGGTTTCTTCCTGACCGTTAACATTTGTTTCGCTCACTTATGTATAGAAGATACCGTTTATGGAATACGCTACCGAAGGACTGGGAATTACGTAATATGTCTTACGGTTTGTTTCAATCAAAAGCAGGCGACTTTATAACTGGTCAGAATGTAGTGAACCAGTAGTCAACCCTTATTTTGTTACTAATACTGGTATTAATTAGTGTAGTTTAGTTGAAATTATTGTACGTGTCTTAATCTGAAAAGCAGATTTTTTCTTAGGTGAGGCTATAGTTACTAAAAAATACCTAAGTAAGCATTCAGTCGGGTTCTGAAAAGTGACCAGAGCCCATAACTTTATCATTTCTCAACCGATTTCGATCAAATAAAAACCCAGAGTCAATTATAATCATGAAGAATCTAATTCTCTGCTGCCATGCATGAACTCTTCTTATTTTGTGTTTAGTCGTTCAAAAACCACTTCCATGACAACGTTTTGCCTTATTATACGGAAGTGAAGCATTTAACAGAAAATGTACGTGGATGGAAATGTGAGAAAAATAGCTATCTTTCATTTAAAATTTTAATCATCAAAATCGGTTGAGAAATGAAAAAGTTTTGCCTTTGACGAAAAATGAAACTTTGGGTTCAGGGCCGGCGCTGACGGTAACTGAAGGGGTCAGGTTCCCTAGCAATTGAAAAGCGTTGATTCAAATTTTTAAAAAGTGCAGGTGTAAATATCATTTAAAATGTCTTAACTCAGGCCCGGGTTAGGACATTTTATAATTTGGCATCCGTCAGATAATTTTTATACTCAACTCAAATCAATTTTGTTAACAAATTTTCAGCGCCTATCTCAAATATTTGAACCAAACTTTTGTTACTGATTCATCGCGATATTACCAATTAAAAGCTTAAAATAAACTAAACCCTAAAAAGGATTGCTTAGGTGTGACTGGAGTATGTGCGATTAAAAGTTTGAAATAACCCCCTCCCTCCTCCCACCCTGGAGAGAAAGTGCTGGTAAAATGAGCACCACCCTGGGAATAATTTCATCACAGTTAAATAATTTCGCCCCAAATTTTGCCCCATGTACTTGGTCTATACTAAATCAATTCTAGCAGTTTACGCATCTACTAGTTTTATCGTTGGAATGACCATTGGCGGCTGTTGATTTTTCGTTAATAATGTACTGTAATATTATTGAAGACAAGTTCATTAGGTAAGTAAAATAAAACATGAGCTGGGGCTTATGTCACCTTGAATGCGGCGTCAAGAAACTGATAATCAGCCATTCTTTGGGTATGTTTATGTAAATTCTATGTTTATCCTTTCTGTTATATTTGCACTGCAAAAACTTGCACAAATCAAAAATTATTCCCAGGGCGGTGATGTTCATTTTACCAACACTTTCTCTCCAGGGTGGGAGGAGGGAGGGGGTTATTTCAAACTTTTAATCGCACATATTCCAGTCTCACCTAAGCAATCCTTTTTAGGGTTTAGTTTATTCCTGATGATTTTCGACATTTTAATAAACTTCAGTAAACAGTAAACAGTAAGACCTGACTTGAAACTGGTCAAATCAGCCTATTTTTTAGTTGTGGGCAGTATGATCCAGAGGTCGACGCCGCCGATCTCACGCCTCCGCGCCGCCATACGCCGATGCACTTTCCGCGCCGCCGCCGCCGAAAAATTTGATTTCCTATTCCTTTAACATTGCGACACCTCGCCGCGCCGCCGACGCCGCCGAAAAATCACCAAAAACTGGCGCCGCCGCCGCCGAAAATTTGTCGGCGTCGACCTCTGGTATGATCTTGCATTTAGTGCATTAAAACTTTCAAAAAGGTTGGGGGTTTTCAATAGGAGGGGTGGCTTATGACTGATAAGCCAATATCTACATGTCCACATTTTCCGTGTTTACAATTGTTACAAATAATTCAATTAATTATATCAACGTTGCTGGGGGTGGGAAAATATCGATTCTCATAGTTTTTTGGTCGCTGATTTCGAATCTGACGTCAGTTTTTCGATTGAGACATCATGGGAAGGGGGACATGGCCAAGAAGTTTTCCTCAAATTTCTCGCTAAATTAAGTGAATATATTTTTTTTGCCATATCATATAATCCAATTTAGAACGTACTGGATCAGTGTGACTGACCAATCGACGGGCGTATACACTAGTAACATATAATCCGACGTAATTCATCTGAGATTCCCCCGCATGACCAGGCTCCCTTACTCAACTGGTAATAATACATTGTCCATCATCACGATCAGTATGATCCCACCATCCGCATCCAACGTCGACGAAATGTTAAAAATTTCAACACATTAAAAATATGAAAACAATTTTCCTAAAATAAAGTTTTGAATTTTGAACCTGAAATTTTTCCAGGTTTTTCAAATTTAAGATGGGGGCCCATGCATGTTGATTTGATCATAACAAATGTCTAACATGACCATATTTTAGCAGGGTTTTAGTAGGGTGATTTTTTTCTCACACTAATACCTGTCTTCGTGCAAAATATAACCCCGAGTGGACGGTACGGTTTGTAAAAAGGCTACTCATGATATAAGGTTGCTAACTATATGATAGAAGATTGCTCAATATCTGCCAATCAACCGGACTTTGACCATCAAAATAAGACCGGCTGTTGTGTTTACAACTTTTACAAGTGTTACCTGCTAAGCATGATAATAAAGTTGAAAGTACTACAATTATGATAGTAGCTGGGTAATTTTTGGTGACAGACGTGAAAAATGCATGCTGGTGTAAGGTGTATGATTCGAAGGTATACCAAAAAAACTTTTCTTTTCCCATTAAAATTAAAATATCTATTTATCCCTTAATCAGATGGATGTCGCAAGGTTGCTTCACCCAACCGATACCGTTCACTGCTGAAGATGTCTCCAAGATTGACAACGCCTCCATTTCCGGTTATCAAAGTAAATTAGCCAAGTACAAAGAATTGGAGAAGGCGGCGTTGATCGGAGGTTAGCTGTTAGTTGTATATGTACAATTGAAATGATATTCAGTGGTTAAGTTATTAATTGCCGTGTGCAAGGTGGTCCTCGGGGAATTGAACGACATGTCACCAAAAACAGGAAAGTACTCATACGGGAGAGAATCAAGAACATTTTAGATCAAGACTCACCATTTTTAGAAATTGGAAAACTAGCCGGATTTGACATGCCTTATGGTGATTTACCTGCGGCAGGGGTTGTAGCAGGTACAGACACAGTGTATATGCATTTATAACTGTAAGCTCAAATAAAGGGATTATAATCTGTCTACCCTGAAGGAATTGGGCGAATCCAGGGGATATACTGCATGATTTCTGGCAACGATGCCACCGTCAAGGCAGGCACATACTATCCAATCACGGTCAAAAAGAGTGGACGTGTCCAAAATATATCAGAAATGAATCGCCTGCCTGTAATTTACATGCCGGATTCAGGCGGCGCATTTCTGCCATTGCAGGTTTGACAAAAATATGACGCCGACACTAAGGCTAATATTGAGGAAATTACAATAATAAATTCCAGTCCGAGATTTTCATCTATGGTGGGAGAGGATTTTACAACCAGGCTGTCATGTCGTCCAAAGGAATTGCACAAATTGCCATGGTCTGTGGATCCTGTACGGCTGGAGGAGCTTATAATCCAACCATGTCTGACGAAGCCATCATAATTGATAGAATCGGGAAGATTTTTCTCGGTGGTCCGCCCCTTGTGAAGGCTGCGACGGGGGAAATAGTGACGGATGAGGATTTGGGTGGTGCCTTTATGCACAGCAGGTTCAAATCAAACCTTGAAACTCCTGACCTGTTTAGTGATAAAACCATTTAATATTTTCAGTGTTAGCGGTTGTACGGATTATTTTGCCACGGATGAAACCCAAGGGTTTAAAATGTGCAGGGAAATCGTCGAGTCGCTAAACATGAGACCTGTACCTGTTCCGAATACGAGTAGTTTTCTCCAACCAAAGGCTGACCTAACCTGGACAGGTAATCCAACCTTACCCACTCAAAAAGTAGAATTTTGTTATCTCAGGGCGCTTCTTAATCAATTTACTTCTTTATTTTGCCCTTTATTTACACCCACTGCAATATTTACTGTAAATTTTACAGATGACAGCTCACAAAAAGCTGGGCTTGAATACTTCACTTGATTCTATATTAATTTATTAACGCATGTTTAACTAGTTTTTTAATTGCTCAGATTTAGAAGGGAAAAGTCACCTTGACAAGGTAGAAATATACGGCGTTCTCTCGGGGTTATTGGATGGGAGCACGTTTAAGGAATTTAAGGCATTTTATGGACCTGGACTTATAACTGGGTCGGGCTATATTGAAGGGTATGCACACAATATTTAATGTGTTTAAACAGAGTTAAATATGCAATTATGCCAGAATACATTTTTATTTTTTATTTCTATTTCTATTTATTCTTTTAATACATTTTTATATCCTAATTTCAGAAATATGGTCGGCATTATAGCAAATTCAGGCCAAATTTTGGAAGCCGAAGCGTTAAAAGCTGCCCATTTCATTGACATGTGTAACCGTCGTGCCACTCCGTTGATATTTTTACAAAACTCGGACGCAACTTCTGCCTTGGCCAATGACTCGTATGACCTGAAGCCAAGAGGGAGCATGTCGGCAGCGGTGGCGACGGCCTGTGTGCCAAAAATATCAGTTACACTTACTGGATGTTTTCATGAAGACTATTTGCTCATGGTGAGGAGATTTTGACAACTATCGAAAAAATCTATAGATAGATTTTTTAACGTAACCAGCCTGATCTGGCTGCGTATTATATTATACGTGTGCAAACTGGATAAAGTTGGAACAATTTTTAATTACACAAATCTGATTTGCAAATTTGTAATTGCATTTTTTCACCAATTCACAAAATTTACGCGATCACTGCGTCTTTAACACATTTTTTCTGGCGCAGTGTGGCCCGTCTTATAACCCAAACCTGAATTTCGCATGGCCAGGTGCCCAGTTTTCTTCCTTCTTAATGGACAATGCAGGCCTACCAGAGAAACGTGACGACGAAGAATTCGACGCCTTTTATGCCGCCTTCAATGTTCTTACTGACGCAATAATTACTCCAGAAATTACGAGAATGGTACAAAATAAGTTTATTCCTCGATTAAAACTCAATTGCTGAAAATATGTCCTACGTTTTTCCCCAGGTGCTTGGAGAATCTTTACGCATAGTGAAACAACAATCCTTAAATTTACCAGTGACAAATCTTCGATATCCTGTTTTTCGAATGTAAAAATTCATTCATAGTGACGAGGTACGTGGTTACGTACCTCGTAACTCTCTCAATCGCCCCGTTGGATCTTTTGATAAATATCAATATATATATATATATATTTCGGGCAAATTATTTTAAGTATGAAAAATATACACAAAATGTGTATCAATAAAAAAACCGTGGCATTATCATATTTTATATGCAGTTTTTGTATTTTGTATGCATCATGCAATTTCTCATAAAGCGTTGCGTGATTTCTGACTGAACTATTCATTTATGTCCTTTTCCTGCTCAGCCAGGGAATGTTTCATTTCAACGGTTTCTCTCACATATCATTGTTTTGCATATTTTCCTCCCGTCTGTTTCCGATATTTTTTTACTCAGGGAAACCGGGAACTGGCATTATGATTCTGATTGCATAATCTCGTAAGTATCTCTCAGCTTGTTTATTTAACCACATCGAGATACTGTGGTATCATTAATTTCAGTTATTGATTTAATTTTAATCTCCATCCATCAACTTTCCGTAGTTTAATTTGATACCACTCCACACGTTGGTGATGGGATAAGTCCTACCTAATCATGTCCTCCCCTTCATCTTCTCCCGTGTCATCTCCTCTCGTCCTTACCATATTTTACGTGGACATGCAAAGAAGGCATACATAGAATTTAAAAAGCGTAAATTTACTTTCCATCGTCGTCACTGGGTTATTCCGCTACACGGATTTTTGTATTTAAATGAACACGTGAAAGACGAGGGGGAGGAGGTGACGGTGAGGTGATGATGGGGAAGACTTATCCTATCGTTCAAGCCCAATGACAAATGACCTGGTCATTCACCTTCCTCTCAGCAGTTGTAAATTACAACTTGTAATAATCGCTGTGTCACCAAGTCGAGCCTGACCTGTGACTGATGATCTCATGTCTGGCTCGGGAGAGGATTGTAATCTCGCATCTGCAGCAGCAGCAGTTTGTTAATTGTGAGTGCATGGTATTAAATATGAGCGAGATAGAGATATTTATCTCGATGGTCAACTGTTATTATTATTAAATGAATCGAGGGTGAGGATGGTGATATCCTTTTAAACTGGGTGTTGGTGATTCTGAACGCTCTGTTGAGTTGATTTACTCATTCGCTAGTTAACTTGGTCCCTGTGCTGCGGTGTTCGTTGGTGAGTGATTATTTCTCTTGCTCTCCTTTTTAGCCTTTTTGAACATTTGTAATTCATTTTGTCCAAACTCTATGTACAGAAATCGTATTTTTCGTGTGGCTGACGACACTCCTAGAAAACATGCGACTTTTAATTCTCGAGGATGACTCCCAAGTGACAGAATGGTCCGCAAAATATGTCGCGAAACGAATCCGCGATTTCAATCCTACCCCGGAAAAGCCATTCGTCCTCGGACTGCCGACAGGTATTAGGACAGCACTAATCCGCTGTGAATTATTCACAGAATCAGATATTTGTAGTAAAAATACGTAAATTTCTATGCTAAACTAATCCACAGGAGGCACACCCCTTGGCATGTACAAGAATCTGATCATTTTACACAAGGCTGGAAAAGTGTCGTTCAAAAATGTTATAACTTTCAACATGGATGAGTATGTAGGTACGTGGAATGTGCTGTACGAGTAGAGCTATAAAAAATTTTATAGGAAAAATAAGTTTCTATTAATGTCTTAACTTCCGAGTTTGATTTTTATACGTGGTATCTACCAGAGCCTTTCATGCTTGGTCTCTCTCTGCTTCTGCAGGGAACAGACTTTCTCAGCAACAGAATTTTTAAATTTTCTACACTGAATGAATTTTAGGCCTGCCACGAGAGCACCATGAAAGCTATCACCACTACATGTGGTCCAATTTTTTTAAACATGTCGACATTCAACCACAAAATGTCCACATTCTGAACGGAAATGCGGACAATTTGGCCGATGAGTGCGACCAGTATGAGAAGGAGATCACGAAAGCTGGCGGCATAGAGCTGTTTGTGGGAGGAATTGGGCCGGATGGTCACGTGGCGTTCAACGAACCAGGGTCGTCCCTCGTGTCACGGACGAGAGTCAAGACGCTTGCTCATGACACAATCATTGCGAATGCGCGCTTCTTTGATAACGACCTGACCCAGGTGCCCAAACAGGCGTTGACAGTTGGAGTGGGGACCGTCATGGATGCGAGAGAGGTAATTAATTCAAATAATTGAATGACCCCAGTCCGATCCGTCGGCACGGCTAGACTCTGATTTTGTAAAATTGAATGGTGGAATACTGACAGAATGAAAGGTTAATATATAGGTAATCCCCGAATGATTACTTGATTCCATAAGCTGACTGACGAAACTGATGCCTTCCCATGTCATCTACCACCTCCTTCTTTACGACGGCATGATAATCCGTCGTTGTTAATGAACGAATGAATGAAACGCTACACACTGTTGGTTCGCTTTTCAGGTGATGATTCTGATCACCGGCGCCCACAAGGCCCCCGCTCTCTACAAGGCGATCGAGGAAGGAGTGAACCACATGTGGACCGTGTCTGCTTTCCAACAGCACCCCCGCACCTTGATGATTTGCGATGAAGATGCAACTTTGGAGTTGAAAGTGAAAACTGTCAAATATTTCAAGGTAACATAATCTCACGTGATAATTTCCTACCATAAATGTGACTAAAAAGTAGAGCACTAAAACGTTTCAAAATTGTTTAGATTTTTTAAATTGATTTCAATTTTTTGGACATTATATTACTCTTTAGGAACTATATTTACTCCATTCTAAACTCATCTTGGATGACGAAAGCGACAAAGTTTCTACCAATAAGTTGGTCATTTTTTTAAATAAAAGTTTGACACTTTAGTTGAGAGTGGATTTGTTAGTTGTGTAATAATAACCGTTTTATCGTACTATTTTACATTTGTATAACCGTGTGACTATAGTGCAACCTAATTAAAATCACAGCGCTAATTTGTTCCCCATTCTTGTTTTGCTCTAGAACCTCTGGGGCGTCCACAGCAAGCTGATTGACGATCCTGTCAACGTATAAAGCCATGATATGGCTCTACGGCAATGTAGCTAAGATCTTATCAGAAGAATATAGTTTTACAATGAAATTAGCAAATTATCTTAAAGGATCTAAATTTCTTTAAAAAATGTCATATTGTAAACCATTCGTGCCAATAAATTCGTAACCTTATTTAACAAATTACTTTTTCCAGTATTTCAGGGGCTATGGGTAAAAATGCGTAAGGCTGGCCAGTATGTGTAAGATGGGAACTAACCCTACCTTGCCAATATTAGCCAGCGTTACGCAATTAAAGGACAGCCCCTCATTTATTAGTGGTTGTTTCACTTTTATTGAAAAGATTCACAAGTTTATGAAATGTATGAAAACACAAATCAAGTTAAATTCTACAACTAAAAACACTCTTCTACTGAGCATAATAACACAGGATAGTAAAGAATTGAAAAATAAAGAGTGGGTTTAAGCAGGATAAGTATGGTTATTAATTGACTAATTAATTTACGTTGCGCCACTAATTAATCACCAAGTTCACAATAGACGTATGTATAAGTTATCAATTTCTTTAAAGCATGGCGACGGGATTCGTTTCCACAATATTTTATGCACATATCATCCACCATAACAAGATCCATTATCACGTAACAGTTAAAGTGATCATTTACCTACGTTACAGTTTTATTTTATTTTATTTATGACGATTATTTTAACATAAGCACTACTTACTCACCTCGACATTTGCAAATTTAACAATTTGTTGCTTCCAAACGATGCACTTTTAGTTCGTGAACTTCGGAACACAACTATAGACATGAATAGGCGCAATATATTAACTAGATGACAAGATATATTATTACCAATTAATTTAGCAATTAATTTGAGTGAACTTGCCAATTATTTTTCCAAAGAAGTACAAAAATCATTCGTCCGAAAAGGGACATTTTTTAAATTCTGGAGTGCAAAATATTTTATCTGCCTCTCCTGATTAATATTTTCATTCGTTAATCTACCGACCCCGACTCTCATGATTACAATGTGCCATCATTATACAATTATTCAGACAACGCCAATGTAAACCCAGCCACCGTTAATTAATTATCATTATTTACTTTAATTAGGTATTACAATTCCTTGCTCACAAAATTATTCGCTTATGCATTTACTTTCAACGGACACACATCACCAATCATTACATGATTTAAAATTATTAATTAGTAAGCTATTGATTTTGTTCTTTCAAGATTATATCCAATTTCATCATCAATACTCAATTATATTAATTGCCTAGTAATTTTTTAAAGATTAGGGTTGATTAGGGTTATTCAAGATCCATTTCTTTAGGTTGTTGTTGCTCGTCGTTTGTGGGAGGATTTTTTCCTGCAGCATTTAGATCCTCGCCAGCACCCTCGCCGCCATTCTCGCTACCCGTTCCAGCAGCGCTGTTCTCTGTGGGAGGAGGAGCTCCTTGCTCCTTCTTCGGAGTGGGTGGTTTCGGCTTGGGCTTGTTCATGATGGGGTGAACCACGCTCTCGAAGGACTTGCGGTGCACGATGATTTCCATCGCGTTGATGGGCGAGGTCATATTGGGTTTGACGCTAAGGAGAATGTCCCTCGTGTGGTCCAGCCACTGTTGACTCTCTTGAATGGCATTTTTCAATTTGTCTACGTCAGCAGCGTCCAAGTGTTCATAGCGAGCTTCGTTGGCAAACTTCATGTCGACGATTTTGCGGGCTAGTTGGATCGACACTTCGAGCTCACGGATCGCAGAAGGACGCTCATGGTGGTCGCGGTGACGTTCGAAGATGGGGTCCGTAGTTTTCTGGGAACAATAAAAATACAAATGTTACTTTTTCTCTACTTTACCAAAGGGTTGGCTTGTGACATGCGATACCTTCAGCTTTTCCAAGCGATCTTGGTAAACTTGTCGCTTTTCATCGCTGCCTTCTTCGTAGAGCCAATTTTCCAGAAAGCTGAGCTCCTCGGACAGTTTAGACTTGTCGCGCTCCTCAACAAATTGAGTCAAATCAGTATCCAGCTTGTCTCTCAGGAGGTAAACGTACTCTTCGAGACCGTTCTTGGCATCGATTCGCTCCTTCTCCCTCCTATCTTCAGCCATCATTTTACCCTAGGAGCAAGTATAATTTAGTAACTATCATCGACGAACCATTTGTTTGACACACTTACCTCGGTTTCAGTCATAAGTTGAATGTCGTAGGGCGCATAGCCGTAAGAGTTTTGCTCGAATGGAAGTTCGATAACTTTGTGGGACTTTTTCTTATCCACAGGTGCCTCTACGTCGTCCTAAAGATAGATTTTAAAATAAAATAAAATGGCATAGTTACGCAAAATTAGCGTATTTATAAATCACAACGAACCTGGCTCATTGGTGTTTCAGCCTCCATTTCGGTATCCTGTTGCTTCGTGGCTGCTCCTTCCAACGGGGAAGCGACGGGTGGTTGTTCTTGCATCGTTTCCCCATTGTTCCCAGCTTCTTGGGAGGTCTCAGTCTCCATCATTTCCTACATATTAAATCACCAATATCATTTAATAATGACGTCAACATCCCATTTAATAAAGATGTTTTCGTAACCATTGGAAGGCTAGTTTTGTAACCTTCTCCCAAACTTTATACAAACACTTGGCGTTAATTGCATTTAATAAAAAAATTGCCATGTTATGAAACACTTACATCGGCACTCTTCAAATAAGCCGTGATTGCTTTGATACTGAAAATCCCGTCCAAGCTGATCCTGGCCTTGACTTTCAGTTTGACAGGGTCCTCATCAGGCGATTCGATATGCTTGATGCAATATTCGGCTGCGAAATTAGTCACAAATAAATATTTTCTTTCCCGAATGATTAATTGTGGTCTGTAAAATAATTACCGATTTCCTTCTGAGGGTAGGGCACATCACCCGAGTACATGGCCTTAAACTTGAAACCGTCCTTTTTATAGAAAGTCAAGAGGCGTGAGAAGGGCACGGGATGGTACAGTGGGAACACTTCCAGCATTCTGCGAGTTAATTCAAAAATTAAATCATGTCCATATTTACTAAGTTATAATTTTTAAGAAACAACTCACCCGTCTTCCTGCAAACTCTCGTCCCACACAATTTTTATCGGATACATTTGAACGTCCGAGATTTTAAAGTCTCGAATTTTGTATGCAGGCGAAAGGATGGCGCATTGTAGGGCACAACCTCGTGCAACAGCCTCGTCCTGGTTCAACGTCGTCGAGGGCGCCTTGCCAAAGGTTTTTTCAATCAGAGCCTTGATCGACGGAATGCGAGATGATCCACCCACAATTTCCACAGCGTAGATGTCACTCGGCTGGAGATCTGCAAGGTTTCAAAGTTGAATGACAATTACATTTTTTTAAATTTCGAACTTTTAGCGAATTGAATTTAGAATTGAACTAAAGTGCATTAAGCCAAGCCAATTAAAATTAGCCAGCTTGAAGGCAAAGTTTACACAAATTACACTATTTTACAAGTAATCTGTTATTCTTTTCCACTCACTCGAAGACCGGAGACAATCCACCATCGTTTTCTCCACCCTCTGCAGCAAATTGCTGCTCATTGCTTCAAAGTCGGCCCGACACATGTGGCTCGTCACGTCCTTGTCGTCCATCAAGCACTCAATGTTCAAGGGGAGCTTTGTCGCGTTGGCTGACATTTGCTTCTTGATCTTTTCAATTTCCGTGAGAAGGCGGACGTAGGCGCGATGGTTCGTTTCGGGGTCAATCTTATACTTGACGCGAAACTCGGCGCAGAAATGGTCAGCGAGAACCTTATCAAAGTCACGACCGCCCAAAAATGGATCCGCGGTAGAGGCCAAGATCTGCAAGAAAGAAATAATTAGTACTTGAGCAATTAATCCTCCACCCATAAGGATAAGGGCAAAAAGGATTTACCTTCAATTTTCCCTTGTTAAAGGCACAAGTCCAGACTTGCAAGGAGGAGTGGCCACAATCCACGAAGACGACATTTCTTGGCTTATCCGCCTCCTCCGGGAGGTCCTGCTTGTAAATCCCGTACGTTAGGGACGTCGCCACCGTCTCATTCAGTAGTCGAAGCACGTTAAATCCTGCCATTTGCGCAGCAGCGACCAATGCCCGGCGTTCCACATCCGTGAAGAAGGATGGCACCTTAATTATGATCAGTTTCAGTTAGTTACTCGTAATTAATTATCAAACTTAAGCAAGAAACATTTACGCTGTACCCACCAACTCTCAAGGCTAATTACTCATAGACAACCAACCTTGTGCGAGGCGTAAGTTACGCCGCGTAACAGCAACATATCAAACCATACTGAATAACCCTTGAGAGTTGTACAGCAGGCAGGTGCTTGTAACTGTGTATACTTGTAAATTTACGAGGTTTACAACTACGATTGTACTCTATCAATCCTAATTTCTTAATTAGATTACCACAAAATTTGCACAGCTACTTTTAAAAGTACAAAGGTTGTCTCACCGAAAAGACACAGTCGCTAATCTTGGTCTTCAAGCCTGCCTCCGTCGTCTCCTTCAGCTTGGTGAACAGCATGGCGGCGATTTGTTCCATGGAGAAAACGTGTTCCTCGCCCAAATACCTAACCTGCACTGCGACCCCGCCACTCTGAGGGTGTGCCACGACCTTGAAAGGCATCCGTTTGAGTTCCTCTTGCACGTACGGATCATCAAAACGACGTCCCAAGAAACGTTTAAAACCCCAAATCGTATTTTTGATATTCGTCACAAACTGATTTTTCGCCGCCACACCGAGAATACGATTCTTCTCGCCAAACGCCACCGTCGACCTGGATAATTGGAATAATTAATTTATAATCCTTGATTACGTCAGTATATCCAAAATGCCTTAAAAACTTACGCCGTAGCTCTCAAACTGTAATCATTGTCTACAGTTTCGATTCCACCAGCCCTCGCGACGGCGACGAAGCAGGACTCGTTACCAAAGTCAATCCCGATAACGGACATTTTTCTGCTATTTCTAATTCCACCCCTTTTTCTTGGTGAAAGAAAGAGTAGGAGTGGGCGTTTAATTGGTCACTTTTCCTCTACTTTCCTCTTATACAATTCACTACAATTTTTCCCAGCACGGCGTATAACACGTTTCACTTTTTTTGAAAGTATTGGTTTAGAAAATTTCCAGAAAGAATCAGAAACCGAAAACTGAGTCTCGTTCCTGTTGGTTCGATGGCCGGTGTGGAGAGGAAAAGTGGTGGTGGTGAGGCACTCGTCAGTTTCGTAAGTGGAGGCAAATGTTGGGAGAAGGTTCTAGAGGTTTCCACCACCAACCACGTGCTCCTCGGCTGCACCAATCCAACATTTTCCTCTTCCTCCTCTGCTCTGGAAATTTCCTCTCGTCATTTTCTTCCTTTTTCCCTTTTTCAGTTCTCGACGACCCCTTCAAGGCTTCACCACTACTTATGCACATTCATTCATACAACAACGGCCACGGCGCTTTTCCACCTCAAATCTGAGGGTGGGTGGAGGCATTGGTCGCCAATTTCCATGTATGGTAACATATGCATATTTTATGGGCATGTCATTGTAGAAAGCGACTTTGCTATGCTATCTCGCCAGATCAGATTTAAGATTGAAGGGGTGACATTTCATTAATCCAATCTATAATGGATCAATATCATCCAATCCATAAGGTCACAAAGTAACTGATAATATCTCACTGATAATGACATTAGTACACGCACCATCAATCTAATCCAAAGTATGAGTCATGGTCAAAACATGCGTCTGCGTATTTATTAGTGCCTATGTGCATGTACAACAAGTGTATTACGGTGTGCACGTCAGGTATGGGCCGGCCTGAAAAAGTGGTGAAATAATTACGTAAGGTATCACCATCCAGGAAAATCTTACGCTGGTTTTTATTTACTTCCCATAAGTGAGATATGAGAGGCCCTTGGTCCATGGCCTCCCATATCTCATACCTTGCTGGAAACAAGCAAAAACCTCAGTGCAAATGCTCCCTGGATGGTGATACCTTATGTGCACTCTGTAATATCAATGACAACATGGAATGATGGAGGTGTGTGCTTTGGGAATTTGAGACGAGTGGAAATTGAGACGTCGCAACTTTCCCGAAAGGCTGATTGTAAAGGATTTGAGTGGATTTGGATCCTTCCAGTGAGGTGTCAAATGGCAGCTCGTTCCTATCATAGTTCACTCGTGGGTGACCTGTGAAAACCCCACTTTGAGAGACGTTACTCCCCTTATGAACGGTCCCCTGAGCTGCGTACAATTTGAGACTCTTTAGACTTGGCCAGATTTGTCTGGTGAGGGATTGACGACCAGTGAGATATGACAGTTCATACAGTTCATTTTGCAAATGCAACCTATTATTCCTTGTCCTTACGATCCTTACGATTAGTACAGTTCAAGTCTCATTTACACGTAAGTTTTCCTTAAATTTTATCAGTATCAATTTTTGAATTTTTCTTAGCCCTGCAATCCCAAAAATCTTGCCAAGATTCGTTACTGCATCGTCCCTTCTTCATAAAAAGTATGCATAGACCCACTTAATAGGAATCTCTCAAATTCAAAAGCAACAAAACTCGTAAAATGATCATTATGCAAAATTTCGCTCGCTAAATTCACTCCATCAGTGTTACAGGCTTTCAAGGGAAAAAATGCAAAATTAATTTCATCCCCAAACCCATAACCAACTTAACGAGCATTTAAAGTTCATACAAATTGAGGTGCATCGCATTATTTACATTTTCTTGTGGGAAAAGAGTCAAGATCACGATAATTTACGGCCCCTGCATAAAACACGTGGTCCATTTGAAGCAAAACCCATTATGTGGAGCTCATTATACAATGCATTCAAACAAGTATCCTTCCTACCCAACCTTTGTGGACGGCCTGTTCTGAGAGAAGTCTGCGTCTCCTTCACCATGCACCTACTTTTCGAAAGGGTGAACGTTTCTTGATGAAAAGAGAGAAAGTGGTCTTGAGAGAGCAACAAAGTTTATGATTTTAGTCGTCCTCTACTTTGTTCACCGTCCAATCATTCCCATTTCGAAGGTATGTATGTCCCATGCTTATTACAATTAGCTGGCTGCATAAATGGTGCTATTAATCAGTTTACTCTCTGCGCAGGTGTCACATGCTGACTAAATATCTCCCTTTTACTTTTACATTCAACTAAATCTGTCTCGTTATTTTGGTCAGTTTTTCAACCTGGTGTGATTTCCCTTCTTATTTTAGCTCTTCTAACGCCCAAGTCCTTCGTAGACGCTCAGAGCTTCATCCGGTTAACGGTTTACCTTTCAGTTTTTCGAGAATTCGAGAAATCTGAGGATTGGGATTTCATTGTTACGCAATAGTAATGACATGGCCCATAAGATGCGTCGCCATAGCAACGAGTGGGATTCGTACGAGAGACAAAGAGCCACGGGATGGCAGAATAAAAAATGCTCTTACACCGTTAAGCCAATGAATTATCAAATTGCACTCTGTCAAATAATAGTAATCGTTGGTAACCTAACCTGCTGGAAATGGCTGACAATGATGTCAGCCATTTCATGCTGTATTATATCTCCCTTTTTTAGCTGCAAAGTAAGTCCTATCCGCCCATAGATAGGACATACAATACAAGAAATAACTTGTACGAAAACCATATATGTAAATAATTCCCCGTGAATGGTATATTCGAGTATTTTGGTGTTTTTTTTTAATTTGTGACAATTTTTAATTGGTCATATTTCATTATTTAATTATGCGTTTAAAAAATAATGAGGGTATTCATTACGAGTTCGCATCCTTCGCAACGTTAGCAACAAAACAAAGTTCGCAAGTTCGCAAAAACTTTTGGCTTGAAAATTTATTTGCGAACTTGCGCATCTCCAGGGCTAGTATTTAGTTCGCAAAATACTTTTTCAGAAATTTTCGTGGTACAATCTTTTTTGTGATTTGAGTGCAAAATGTCATCGAAAGTCGCTAAAAAAAGGAAACAGGAAGAAGCATCAATTTTGGACGATACATTGGTAGAAGAGGTTGAGAACACGAATGTAGACAACGTCAAGGAGCGCCGGAAGTGGACTCCTACCGAGATTGAAAAGCTGTTAGATCACCTAATCTCAATTGTTTCTGTTGGAAAAGAGATAGAGAAGCCAAACGCAGTAGCATTTTACAAACGTGGAGTAGAAATTCTCGCGTTTGAACATTGTAACCACAACCAATTAAAAAATCAAGTGAAAAATCTTAAGAGAAAGTATGGAGAGACGGTTCAGTGGCGCAATCAGACAGGGCAAGGGGTCTTAGAAGAGCAAGGGGAATCTTCTTTCAAAGGTAAAACTCATAAACATGTATATAAATTAACGTGGAGAGCAATTATGGAATATAATTCAATTAATTCTCAGAAACTTTGCTAAAACGCTGTCCCCACTTCGAAAAACTGGACGAGATTTTTGGAAATAAACTTAACATTGCTCCTCCCTACCTACACGATTCGTCGAAAATCGGAGATGAAGATCATGTTATAACTACTTTGAATACACCAGACTGGACATTGAACAGCACCATTTTCAGTGAGGAGACTAGCGTCCCCGAAAGTAGCGAGCATTCAGTGACTGTAGAAGAGACGCAACAATCAAAATTGGTAAGAAAGCGGAAGTTGGCCCCACAAACTGGATCATCCATGCTGGAAAGATGTGTCGAAATCAGGATCGAATTACAAAAAGAACAATTGGCACTAGAGAAGGAGAAATGGCAGTACGAGAAGATAAGAAACGATGAGCGGTACGATTTAGAAGTCAAAAAGATGGAACAAGATCGTGAAATCGAAGAACGAAAGTTGGACTTAGAGCAATAACGCATTAATAAAGATTTCGAGCTTCAAAAGTATAAGATAGAGCAGGAGTTTAAGTTAAAATTAGAGTTATCTAAAGTACAAACTAAATAATCAACTCTAATTAAAACCTATTTTCCGCATAATACGTGTAAAAATTAGTTCTTGTCAAGTTTTGTACATGTACATCTTAGGTAATTAAGGTGAATTAAGGTTACAAAAACATTTATTGTAATGCCAACTTTCCGGTTATAAAATTAAATAATCCAATTCTTTTTCTGTCATTTCCTCTCGTTGCCTCCGGCATTTCGTGATCTTCCTCCCCCAAATCTTCAACAATTATTGCTGGAAGTGTGGGCTTGATAATATTATACAGAATGCAGCATGCCATTATCCAGTCGCATGCTAATTTGTGTCCACGTTGCTTATCCACGCGTATCCTCAATCCCTTTAAGCTTCCAAAAGTTTCCTTCATTATTCCAAATACGCATTCAATGTTGACCCGATATTTTGAGAAATATTTGTTAAATGCTCTTCTTTGGCTTGCTGTGCCGGCAGTAGCATTATTCCGGAAAGGTGTGATCATGAAGTCACTAACAGCATAAACAGAGTCCCCAGCAATCCATTGCCCATTAGTTAGAAAACTTTCGGGTCTAATCCCAATTTCTGAGTTGGAATATACTCGTGCATCATGAACCGAGCCAGGATATCCAATAAATATATTTCTGATAATACGATCATTGTCACAAACCGCCTGCAAATGTATTGCGTACCGCTGCTTTCTTGTGAAATATGACTCTGGGTCATCCAACTGAGCTTCATCTAGAGGGATATGAGAGCCGTCGATGTAGCCGATACATTTTGGTAACTTGTCGCCCATAAATAATTCTATATTTGCTCGTTCATTCTCATCAGGCCATCGAATATAATTATGCTCCAGACTAAGAATCGCCTGCCACATATACCATACCACTATACAATTAAACTAAGTATTTTAAATTATTCGCAATTAATTGGTTAATTTACTTTTAATACTCGTTCAATTATGAGCATCACTGAACCACCTCCTCCAATCCCAAAAACTGCAGCCACGTTATGAATAGAGTTAGATGACCCATCATTTCCGAGCTTATAGAGTGTAATAGCGAGTTGTTTATCGACTGGCGTTTGTTTTTTGCTGCTGTTTGATCGGAAGACATGATGATCTTGAATCATTAAGAGAATCCGTCCAAAGTTTAATCTTGAGACTCTCAGAAATTTTCGAAATAGGTCGTCGTTATAATCTGGGAGAACGTTACGATACCACTGGTCGGATTTGGGGACAGGATTTCGTGGAACAATGTACCGAATGGCCTCTGTGAGCAAAATTTCATCTACGATATCGTCGAATTCCTGCCATCCATCTCTTGTGTTCGAATTTGTGCTCCAAATCAGTTCGGTTGAAGCGATTTGGCACAAATCATTAATATAACGACGCTTCTGAGATATTTTAGGCATATCGAACTACTTACATAAAAATCAGAATTGCAGAAAAATTACTATTCCAAAAAAATCTAGAATTTGTATTTTTTGCAAATACCAACTTTTGCGAATTTGTTTGCGAAGTGTCTTCACTTCGTTGCTTCGCAAAATTAGCAATTTCGAAAAAGTTATGTTGCGATGCGAACATGCGAACTCGTAATGAATACCCTCAATATATTTTGATTTGGTATTCACTCAACATTTTTATACTTTTTCGATCTGAGAACTATGCCAAATGCAAGAAATTACAAGAAAAATCGAGAAGGTAATTAGTAATTGAACTTTAATTACTTTGTGGCAATGTAATTGTAATTAGTAATTAATTACTTGGCTTAAATTGAGTAACAAAGTAATTAATTACTTTGAGTAATTAATTACTTGATTGCTTCGAATTGGAATGCCTATTGTGTAAAATCTTGATTCACAAGATCATTTTTAGACGAGCTTGAAGATTAATTTTGCGTTAACTACGCTTCAGGTATCAATTATTCATCTCTGTTACTTTGAATGTACTTCCAGCAACTAGATTCCAACAATTAGATTAATTAACTGCTTAATCTTAAAGGTTAATTGCAGTTCTTTAGTACATTTACGTTCTTAGAAATACATGTAATATTAAAATAATGCCAAGCGGTATTCATATGTGACTCAACCAAAGTGGTATTGGTAAATAATACAGTCAGCAGTAGTAATAGCTCGGTATTAAAGTTTTACCATATCGGTAGCAAATTTTTACGGATAGGTAAAAATTTACCAGTCGACAGATATAATTTTAAGACCAAGCGGTAGCAACTTTGATACCTGGAAATTAATACCTACGTGACTATGCCATACTTTTAAGATTGTACCGCCATGATTATAAAAAATGTAAATAATTTGTAATTAAGTAATTAATTACTTTTGACGGAAGTAATTGTAATTGTAATTAATTACTCGACTGATGTAATTAGTAATTGAGTAATTAATTACTTTCTCTCGTCAGATGTAATTAAGTAATTAGTAATTAATTACAAACTCAAGTAATTAAGCAACACTGGCCAAATGCATAGTTTTTTGCACAGTTTTTTTGCACACTTAAATCGGTGCTCTTGTAAAGCTATTTGCCACTATGTACATATGTAAAAATTTTTCTACTGCTCTACAATTCCGCACTTCTGATCTAATTAAGTTAATTTGCAAAATCTCTTCTTCGAGCATGCTCAAAGGAGAGATTAACTTGTTGATAACGCCAGGGAATGGATCCGCAAGATGTATTCTCTGCCCTTCTGTGTTTTGTCTTGACATTCTACATGGCTGCACATGGTCCTCTTCTTGGGGGCCCTGCAGGAAGCTTTTACCTCCCACAAAAGGCCTAGACATGCGTTGACATTTTGTACTCAGGGCCCCCGATGATGTCGTTTGATGGTGGCCATCTCCTCCTCAACGTCGACGTGCAGCCGGTAGGAAGACGACGAGGAGGGAAACAAAGCACCGGAAAGGTGTAAAAAAGACCAAGTGGAATAATAGAATCGTAATCTTTTTTATTCGAGGAGACTACAAAACTATTTATTCATTCTCTCGTGTCGTCATTTCCTCCCTCTCTTTCCACAGGAATGGGCCCATGCAAATAAACAAACGCTCGCTTCTTTTCTAAATACCTCAAGTAACTTTTTACATGGGTTCAGGCAGGTGACACAAAATCTCTACATTATTTTATATGTAGATCATTATCCAATTAAAGTTCGATTAAAAGAAGAATTGCATTTTTTAATAAGTATCTAAAACAAGCATAATCTACTTTTCCATGCAAAAAAATTGCATAGCTGATTTGCACCTAAAAAATTTAAAGTTAACAATTCCATACTATGGAAACGCAAATCCAAGTTGAGAATTTGGTATGATTTCACAAAAGGCATGAACAGATGGACTAGGAAAAGCTATACATTTCTGCTCCAGTAATACGACACTAGTACACAGTCGTATATACTGGACTTATTGTGTACAATAACGATTTTTGAGACGAGAAATTGCGAGGATGTTATTTATTTCGTGCAATTCTCTCCCCTCGATCCTTGTTTCTCGGATGATCTGCCTCATGTCAATTTAGTCCAACTTCCTCCCTCCTGCTTCCTTCCTTCCTGAATTATTGTTGTCACTCATGCACGCACAATGCTGCACAGGATGAGTGGCATTCCACTTTCCAGTCCGAAGTAAAGGGCAAAAAGCCGCCCAAAAGATACCACATCTTTTCCGCACGGCCACAAAACCACCCCCATTCCCATTGCTCAGATAGTCAGAAACATGCCACGCCAACTCCATCGCCTCGTCATCTCGTCCATTTAAAGCTCTTTAATTCCGACCAGTTGTATCCACAACGAGTGGAAGGTGTACGCACGTAGGAACAACAATTGGAGAGCAGGAGCGATATTTTTCCAGGGAAAAAGGCTCACAATAAGGGACAAGGGTCGTGGGACGCCTTGATCTGTGGCAGCCGCAGTTAATGAACGGTCCCTGGCACAGGAGAGATGAATTAAACCCTCGCCGTCGCTGCTGCAAGAATTACGCCTCCATTGTTCATTTGGGAGTTGTTCGACCAGGCGGATGGTATATAGGAAAGGTTGACTCTGAATAATAATAATATGTGCATATGAACGAGCAGGAGTTGGAGATTGTTGCCGTATTCTGCTGCCTGTAATATTACCTCGCTGGTGCATCGTCAGTTGGTGTACCGTGTAAAAAAACATCTACAAGACTTGTTTCATCCTTCTGCAGTCATTTTATTGGACTCGCCAAGTTCCATTATTGCACTGTAATAATAAAGGTTCAGTTAGTCGTCCATTCACTGTCAACGAGACAAGTCAAGTCCCATGCAAAAGCTGATTTGCACACACTCTACGCAAGTTGAAAAGTGGTTGATTTTGCAGAGTGGTGGAGGAGGGAGGATACATGAAAAAAGCGAGAGTGCACATTGGGAAGAATTTGCACATTTTGTGGGAAAAGGCTGAATTGTTGAAATCCAGTGGGAGCAGAAAAGTTGGGCTCAGCCAGAGCTTTAATCGGGCTGCTTAAAGCCCAGGAAGGAAATCTGCCATGATCGAATAAGTAGTTTTATTTCCCAGTCCTGGAAATTCCATCCAACGAAATCAGGACAAAGGATGTCGAGTCGATAAACTGCGAATGTAATCTAATCTCATCAGTCTCTCCCACATGCGCATTATTCCCATTTCGACGGAAAACTATCTCTGCTATTTCTTTGATATTGAAATATTTTCATCCAGGAGACACAAATCAACGGATACGATTACTTGTTTTGTTCGCGTTTGCCCAAAATAGTGCAAGTTTTGATCAATCCATGGAAACTTTATGCCGATTCACTACATTCAAAGTACTAAATGGTGTGATAAAACTTGTGGAAATTGTGACAAAAATTAGGTGGTAACGATTCCATTGGAGAAATACTTGCCCAATTTTTGGCAGATTCTGTCTCGGTAAGTGAAACAATACGACTTGTTCTAGTTTAATTAATTAAGTTACATTTTCCTTGGTTTCATTTTAACCCGAGTGAGTTTGTAACGATGTGGCGTGGCGTGTGCAAATTGCATGTAAAACATCAACCACTGCCACTTATTTACAAGAAGCACATGCAGTCGACCACTTTGCATTATTAGTGTAACTGTCAATTATGACGGGACGATGAGGATGTGCAGGTCTCTTGGCTTGATGGAAATAAACATGTCATTTTCATACTTATGGTTAGGCGTCTTTCGCAAGTGAGCTCGTCACTGCTAATTGTTGAGGCTTGTTCTTCTCATCTGCGTCATACGTGCGGAAAGGATGTCGTCAATTTTCCTTGATTTTCGCCATGTCTGGGAGATGATGATGACGACTAAAAACGGCCCTTCTTAATACGCAAGCATTGATCAACCACTCACATCAAGATTAAGCTTGACACAAAGGATTCATTTGCACTTACGACACAACTTTCAAAAATGTATGGCTGCCGATGAGCTGTGTTGCTCCGTAGCTCCAATTCGTGCCCCCTTATCCCTTGCAATAATTAGGCTTTGGCTGGTAATCAATTCATCATCATCGTCCTAATATTTCTGATTGATCCGTCTTTTACATATCTTTCAGGAGCGACATGGGAGTCGCAATTTCTCATTTGGCCGAGAGTTTATACCATTTCAGCTTCATTCAATAGATTTTCCTTTATTATTCAACTACATCATTTTTTACCCTGGGTTTCCTGTACTGATTGATTTTAATGGATTTCCTCCCGAACCATGCATAATTTATATAGGTGACCCAAAAAGCCCATCTTTAATGACATTTTCTTAACTGTGGCACAAATGAGCTCTTCTTCACACACATCATAAAACTCATAAAAATGATTGCTGCTAAATTCGAGGACGACGCGTATTTTTACAAGTGTCACATTAATATCGATTCCGTTCATTTGCTGAGGTGACAATTATTGCCGTGTCATAAATAAAAGTCACGTTGCTGCAGTATTTATCCTATTATTATATTATCCCACCCGTGGAATTTATGTGGTGAAATAAACAAAAAAGTGACTACACACCAAGAAAACAGGGTTAAAGATTTATGCACATTTTCGCATTCCCAAGGGAAACTTAGCTTCTGTGAAATTATTGGTGTTTTTTGCACCAAGAAGAAGCTCATGATGTTATCTCTTGAGGGAAAAAGAGGCAGATAAAATAATAATATTTCCTCCCAAATCCATCCATCCGTCCATCCTGCTCTTCTCCACCTCTTCTGCAATCCTCTCCCCGTCAATTCACCTCGTCATCAGTGAATTGTCGTTGATTGGGGCCGTCCATTAATTCCGTGGCGTGGCGCATACGAGAAAACTGAATGGGTCTCAAATTTCCTCGCTTTTTCCCCCCGCACATGATTCGCGAAGGATTCTCTGCATTGATGGTGGATGTACGGAGGCAAATTCTAGTGGAAACCATACCAAGGACAAAATGCAATTTTGTATGGCACGTAATTCATATAATAACAATAATAATCCCAATCCATGCCGACAATTCAATTCGCAATCTTCTTCTCTTCTTGGTCGTGGTGAGAACGCAGCAACCTTGTGGCAACCTAGTGGCTTTTGGTGGCTGAGAAGAAGATGCACCCATCTCTTTCTGCACTTTTGCAGTGCTAAGATGCGAGTCAAAATTAATTTGCGAGACGGAAAACCAGGCTGATTTTGTGGAATGTCTCATGCATTCTTTTCTCCTTCTGCGGGGCAAAATATGGATGCGCATCTTGACAAAAGTTGAATGAATATGGGTATTGATTTAGCTACATTGGAATTGACGTAGGACAAAACCTGGTCAAAAACATTGCCAAATAATATGTGCAAAGATTTCTCGGTCAACTTTGACGTCGGGAGTCTCCTTGTTATGAGATTTGTTTCCATCAACTTTACTCTGGAGGAAATATTCGCTCCTGTCCCTCTCAGATTTCGATGCTCTTTCTTTGGACACAGATCTTGAAACGCCGTAAAAGTGTTCTCTTGGCTGGGATACGAGATTCTCATATGCACAGCCCCTCAATGTTACGTATTGTCCATTGTTAGTTATGTGTGGCGTTTTATGTATGCTCAGCTAAAGAACAGACGACGCAGTGAGTTTTCCTTACACGACTTACCGAAAGGTTGACAAATGGTAATTGTGCTGTTTGGTACTAAATAGTGGTCCGACACCCACCCACGCGGTTCGTCACCCTTCAGAAAGAGTCGTAAAGGCATCTGCAGTGTGGTGGCAGGAGCAGTGGTTCGAATCCGTATTTGTTAATTGGAGGCACGATGATATGGAGTTGGGCTGGGCCCATTGCCTTCATTCAGCAAACCAAGAAATTGCAAAAATGTCCTGGGGTTTCTAAAGACCACTCTTTTCCTACAAATCCTAGTTTGCATGGGTTTTTCACCTTTTTGCAATATATGCATGAAAAACAGTCTTTTTGTCATAATTTTCCATCCCAGAGACATTTTTCCATATTCTCTATTTCGTTCGACGTTTTTTTGCATATCTGTGTCGCTCAATCGTTACATCGTTGTTCGGGGCATGCAAACTTTTCGTAGAAAATAAACCGTCGCAAACGCGCATACGGAAGTAGCTTCAGACGTACTTCACCCCAAACAGTCCCACCACAACTCGGGAACACTTAATTTCACTCTATTTCACCTATAGATTAATTTTTTGTAAAAATCTCATTTTGCCCCGACCACACCCCCTGGCGACGAGGGGGTGTGGAACAACTCGGGAACACTTAATTTCACTCTATTTCATCCATAGATTAAATTGCACTAAAAATCTCATTTTGCCCCAACCACACCCGCTGGCGCCGAAGGGGTGCGGCAAAATCGGGGAAACACTCAATTTCACTTAATTTCACTTAATTTCATTTAATTTCACTCAATTTCACTTAATTTTACCCATAGAATAAATTGCACTAAAAATCTCATTTTGCCCCAACCACACCCCCTGGGGCCGAGGGGGTGTGGCACAATCGGGGAAGCACTTAATTTCACTTAATTTCACTTAATTTCATTTAATTTCACTCAATTTCACCTAATTTTACCCATAGATTAAATTGCACTAAAAATCTCATTTTGCCCCAACCACACCCCCTGGCGCCGAGGGGGTGTGGCACAACTCCGGAACACATAATTTTACTCTATTTCACCTATAGATTAAATTGCACTAAAAATCTCATTTTGCCCCGACCACACCCCCTGTCGCCAAAGGGGGTGTGGTCCGGTTGCCCCCAAAAGTTGATAGGATCCTCCCCCTGGGGTCCTATGTATGATGGCGAAAACCGATTTCGATTATCTCGATCCGTTCTCGTGATATCCTGCTGACAGACAGACGGACAGACAGACAGACAGACAGACAGACAGACAAAGTCTTCACATAAAGTAGCTGAAGCTACTTAATAATTCTTAAATAATCTAATAACAAATTGTTATTAACAATATGTTCAATGGGGTAATTGAACACCAGAAAAGTTGTGCCTTAGAAACAGGAAGTAAATGCAAACAAATATCGGTGACCAGAATTCTCTAAATCGAATTTTGCAACAACATTCGTGCATGCATAGCTTTATACAATATTTTGCCAAATATTAAATGCTAAATTTCCCATAAAAATACGGAACAAAAACAAAAAAATATAAAGACGTTCTTACTTTTAAGTTTTAACTAATTATTATACGTATGAATGTATCACCACCCCAATAATGGTGAACAATAAGATGATAAAAAACGACTAATTCCCTTTTTGGCCTGATACGTATTTTTACCTTGCATTCCTCCTGATTTTAATCTGATGCGTTGGTTTATTTTTTGCGAGGTGAAGAAACTCACAAGAAGCGAATCAAGAGTGCGAATGAAGCCAAGACAGGACAAAGCAAGGAGTTAGTTACACAGCTTTTCCAAGTTAAAAAAAGTACGACTTGAACTTGAAAAGAGAACCACAGAGCGAGATGAGAATTGCTTAGCTTGTACAGAAATCAAATCAAATCAACTTTTCTTGAGATAATAATTATGCACGCCAAATGCCAGCGAAACCGCAAACAGTGGTAATTTCTAAGTCGATGAATATTTCGCATTTTTCCTTACGTAACAATTACACTGCGACTTGGGTTGCCGGAGAGGAGCAGATTCCTGGGTTTACCTAGATATGCAACCATACATATTTCGAGCTAATTAGTTTTTGGAAGGAAAATCCGCCCAGTTAGCCTTGCGTTTTTAAATATGACGAATTATGTGGCATCCTTCGTTCGTAGGAAGATTGGGACGATTTCATGAAAAAGTGCGTACTTATTATGAATCCATGAAGAACAACATACACAAGAATGTAGATAATTTTATTAGTAATCAAATTATGCATGATGTTTGTAGACCCATAAATTTTAGAAATTGGTTGTGAAAAATAATGGAACAATTTATCAAATTGCAACTAACATTTTATGAAGCATCGTTTTTTAAAACGAAAGAATTTTATCAAATTATTGTTTTAAAATATCCAAAACATTCTACAAAAATGAGATAATTTAATAAAGTTTATTTTTACACTACTTTGTTTTAGTTGTTTGGTCCGTTTCTTTGTTAGAAACGCATCTCACCGCATCTTCCCGCCTGTTCCGAGCTGGACATGACTTCGAAAGTCCTCTGGGTGGGGTCTTCCTCAACCTACTCGACCCACAAAAGCGTCACCTCGACTCCGGCCAAGAAGCAGGACGTGTTTTACGAGAACATCAACCATCGTCGCGGTCAAGACGTCACTGACTCCACTCAAAACAAGAACTGCACGGTCAAAACCTTGTCCTTGGTTCAGCAGCAGGCCCAGATTTTCAATTCTGCCAACAACAACAACAATAACCACCAACGCCAGCAGTATCAGAATGGAAACCACAACTCAAACTCATCTTATTCCGACGTAAGTGGCAAAAAAATGTTCAGTCAAGGCAGCTCATTTTTCGCAATTCGCCACCCAACGAGTGAGTGGACGAGGGGCACTAATAATTAACCCATATTTCATTCATGTTGGGAAAAAGACGGGGTTGTGTCAACATTATTCTATTGAAAGGCTGGATCATCCCTCGCCAATTTGAATGTCTGCACAAATTGAATCCGCCCCGTCTGCAGCTTAATTTTGCCTCGTTATTCTTGTTCGCAAAATTGCACGGGTAGCGAAACCAGCGAGTATGATAACGGGAGAGAAATTTGCATCCTAATGGCCAATCGGCTTCATCTCGATACTCAATTGTTGTTGTCGTCGTTGCATTGTTAGTTTTCCTCTTGAGTTGACTTGTTCAAAAAAATGATTGATTGTACTGATCCGTTTCTTCGACTACTTTTTATTTTACCACTATGTGGCCCCATACGAATGGGCATAACTTGCCACAATTTAGGTAAATTTTAATTTTGCTTGCAAAAACTGTGGCATCAACGTTGACGAATTTATTCAAAACATATCCCTCAAGTATTCATTCATTTTTTAGCGTACCGATTTTAGTCTCGAAATTATGTTGAAGCGCATTTTACTTTTATTTCTTCCTTCGTAAAAGTCTGTTGGCTTCTCGACGGCAAGGTTTGTTCGTTCTCAAATTGGGTCTCCTTCACGGACGAGGGAACAACATGCATACGGTTTTTTTGTTGTCCGTGGTCGCATAAAATCAGGTCTCGCTGCATATTGTGCACGTGCATTCATGCAATTTAGATGTAACGGATTATAAAAATTGAAATATTGGAAGGGAATCTTTGGCGGTGCATGAAATTCATGTCAAGAATTACGTAGACGTTAAAATCTGGGTATCAAACGGATGGGTTGTCAATCTTGACATTTATTTTGTTTGATGTGCAACAAGAACCAAAATAAATATTGAAAACTGCAGAAATTGCGTCGGAATTTCTTGGTAAAATAGATGAGTTCTTCTCCTCAGAGCTTTATGAGGTGTGCATGAAGGAAATCCATTTTGCACAAGGATGGAATCTGACGGGGGGCACTTATGGCACTTTCAAAACAGTACTCGCATCCGGCCAGCTCCACAGTAAATTCGACATTCGATACTTATTTGCTCATGTGAGGACAAAAGACGCGCATCACTAAGCGTGTCCTCCTGCTGCCAGGTGGTTTATTTACCAGAGTTGTTCTGCAAACTTCCGCCCCACAAAAAACTCCAAACCATCGGAGGATGATGAATTGGGACATTATTAACATAAGCACACATGCAGAGTGACACGGCTCATTCGTCACTGCAGGCCAGCCATACCTGGCGGAAAAGAAGACATGTATGGAAAAGCATTTAATGCCACTAGTGACAGAAATACGGCATCCTTGACGTGTTCGTGTGGCAAGCGAGGTGTAATGTCTAATTTTTACGAGGTTTACTCTATCCATTTTTTAACCAGAGAACAGATATTCCATATTTACCTCGTTTCCAACAAGTGGATTGGGTTACAATAGTGGTAAATCACGTGGGGACATGATCCCACCCAGGGCTGTGCGGTAAGGCTGTGACCCCTCTCGCCATGTAGATGCAAAAATATCCTGATGACCCACTGCGGCCATGCCCTTTCTGCACAGCCCCACATTCATCTTCGATAACCCCCTCCGCCACATAATATGTACGGATGGAAGAGTATATTTTTCCACATATTTTCCAATTTTTCTCTTGCCCATAACTACACGTAATTGCCAACAATTTCTACTCGCTTTGTTCTGCATGTGGTTGAAACACGCTACCACCACCACCACCATTTATCGACACATAACTCTTTTCAAAGTGCTATTGGTTCTGGTCGTTGGGTATTAAATAATGAGGATTATACGTGAACGTGGTGAAAATAGAATCCCATTTTTTCTCGATATGCAACAACAATTATCTCATTACCACCAGAGTGGAAGTGGAATAGAGAGTGGAACAAGGCAGCAAATAAATACTCCATCTCCGTCCACAAGTTACATCTCTTCTTGCACCACCAATATCATTTTGCTCATTTTGTAAGTCTCATCCTCACTCGTGCTCAAATGTCCAACTCTGAAATTATGTACGTACGTACGCCACAAATAAATCTCATTCCGTTCTACACAAATAATTACCACTTTTACAACCATATTATTGGTTTCTAAACATCTCTACAAAACAATTGAGGGTTTCCCACAGTGGAGGGCCGTGCAGTAAGGGTGTGACCTCTCGTGACCCCTTCGCCCCCAAAACATGTCCCCTTTGACCCTGCGTCGAAAGAATCGAGATTAGACCTCCTCCTTTCTGCACGGCCGCTTTCACACCCAGCGCACGAGAGAGCGTGTGTGCGCCACAAGTTCCGCAGACTTCTCGATATAATTTATTTCTGTTTTTTTTTCTCTTCTCCCCCTTCGAAATTATTTAGACGATTGTTTACGATGTGCCCAAAGCGAGTGCAGAACGTATTTACGCCCTCCCCACAGCAGCAGTAGCAGCACCGTCATCATCCGCGCTAGGTGAGTGCATGAGGAGGAAGCCTCGATTTTTTGAGGCGTACGTACCACTAACGGATCGTCCGTATGTGAGCCATGTACGTGCTCAGTCGTCGTCTGTCAGTGGGCGACGCTACGACTCTAGGTTCTAATTTGGGCGAAATTTTGGTGAAATAAGTTCCCGTTTTTTTCTGTCTTGGTGTTTCAGTCGTCGAGAACGTGCTGGTTCCTTCGGCGGCGAGACTGGTTTTAAGTCAGCAGAAGCAAAGTAGCAGTGGGAGTGGGAGTGGGAGTGGGAGCACGAGGAGCGACTTGCTCGACGACGACGACGACGACGAGGACACGCTCGACATTTCGGACGACGAAGGCGAATTCGACGTGGAGGACAGGACAGAGTTTGACGATTTTGACGATGACATTGTCCACCCCCCGAAGCCCACGGGAAGTGTAGGAGGAGAGAGTAGAAACAATTTCAAGTACGCGGCGCCCCCACCGGAACAAAATTTTAATAGTTATGATGACGCCGATTATGGTGAGATTTATGCCACAATCACTCATTCAACGTAAAACGTGTAAAATTTTGTAAAGTTTACAACAATCAGAGAAATATATAGCCAAGGACATTCCGAAGTGCATGGCTACTTTGATTAGTCTTGGTCTTATATGAGCACATAAGATCAGTCTGTGCACAAAATTTACAAGGCTTGCAAATGTAGCGTGAAGAATGGAATCCTCGCAAAGGGTTACTATTTTGAAGATTTGTGACTTTTCTCCAGGTTTGGAAGTGATTCACGAGGAGACGGAGAGTCAAATGTCGTCTTCCGATTCTGAGCTGGACTTTGACAGTGACACGAATTCTGGAGGGAAGACGGGGGGCAGTCGACGACCGGCCTTCCCCTTCCTCCCTACATCTTCCCCCCCAAGTAGAGCCAAGGAGGGGGCGAGGGGGCTCAACTTCTTCGATGCCCCGCCCTTGCCCGAAACGACCACGATGCGACACGACGCTTCCCCAGAGGAAATCTTCCAGGCGGAGGAGGGGTTGTCCCTCGAGGAAGGCGAGGAGGGCATAGCCAAACATATTCGAATCTCGCCCAATTGGGACCCGGTAATTCCTTGCATGATTTATTTCATTAATAGGCAAAAAAATTGCGAGGAATCGAAAATTGTGAATGTAAGTGACCTGTTTTTCTCCTTGTCGCAGGAACCCATCTTGACCCGATTGTACACGATGCAGGAATCTAAACCATTATTAAACAATAAGAACGCGAAGAAGGACTGTTTGAGTGGGTTTTTAAATATTTTGAGTGGAAATAGAAAAAAGGGAACGTTTTGGAACGCTTGGAAGAGAAAATTCTATGTTTTATCGGCCGGAAAGTTGAATGGTTATGAGGTATTTGTAACTATTCAAAATATTCTGATGAGGTGGGTGAGAAAAAAATTGATGTATTTTTTCCCTTCTCCAGAAGGAAAATTGTCTCGATCTTTTCCAAACGATCAATTTGGTGGGAGGAAAGGTGGACTTCTTGGACCCCGCAGATTTCGTGGGGACGGATCAGGTACGAAATTACACGTCGCGAGTTGGAACACGTGGCTTTTTAATGGAAGCATTTTATTTTTTAGAACAAAACCATGACCAATCGCATCATCGGGATTGATGACGCCGTGAGTGACCATCTCGAATTAAATTAAGCCATTTAGAGTATTTCATTTTTTAGCCTTAATTTTTAGAAAGGACATTACTACGTCCTACAATGCCCCACGGTCGCAGAAGCAGGAAAATGGGTGGCCGCCATACAGTACGAAACTCTCCCCTCACTAACTTCCCAGTACGCCATTCCCCTCTTCTCCAAGTTGCCATCCATGTTCAAAGACCTCGTTTTGGTCGATTTCGGCTCAACTAACATTCGCGCTGGCGTCTTAATGCATCAAGGTAAATTTTTAAAATCCTTCCTTTTCTCTTTGAAAATTCTCCAAGGTTAGATTCGGCTAAATGTTCCTACTTATGTACGCAGCGACCCTTCCTGCCCTGTTCTTTGCCGCCGTGACGTCACAAAACGACCAGGATGGCACCGTCATTTACGGGAATGATGTCTACCTCCGGGAAAACAGGAAAACTGCAAAGCTCAAGTTTCCTTTTGAAGCGTCGTCAAAAATGTGTCAGGTAAAAAACGTCGTCTCGGAAACAATTGGATGGAATTAAATTTTTCATTTTTTAAGTTTAGAATAATTTGAACATTGACGCCGTGAAGGGATTTCTCCTCAAGATATTTAAAGAATTAAAAGTGGAGCCGGAGCGGTATCGTGTCATTATAAATTTACCCCGCAGGGTGGACGACGCCTGTAAAAAGAACATCTTGGGAGTTTTGTTTAACACGTTTCAGGTAGTCAAAAGCTGTAGATTGTTGTACTTCTTGTTTGCAGAGTATTTTATGCAGAGTATTTTAGCCATGGTTTTTTATGTGACAGGCAAAAAGTGCTCTCCTCTGCCATCAGAGTGTCGTCTCGTTCTGGGCGTACTCGGCGGACAACGGGATCATTTGCGACATCGGGGAACGGTGTGACATCGTCCCCGTCTCGCAAGGATTCGTCCTCTCGCACGCCTGGGGCAGGGCACCCTTTGGAGGCCAACCTCTGAAACATGCCCTTCGACAAGGACTTGGCCCCCAGGTACGCTGACATACACGCTCCCACCACGTAGACACTCTCTGTGTCACGTGCCCAGTGACGTTGGTCAATGTTTGGGTGTATTTTCAGGAGAACGGGCTGTATTTGTCCACCCCGACGGAGAACCTCGTGCTGCGCTTCATCACGGAGAACTTCATCTACACGAGTGGGCAGAGCACGAGGAAAATGTCGCAAGAGAGTCAAGAGATCGTGGTGGAGATGGACCTACGAGACGTGCTCTCCATCCCTAATCTCATCGGGGTCAATCAGAACGTGCTGAGGGGGGTAGCAGACGGATTTTTCGACCCCGGCATGTACGGCTTGGATTGTGACCCCTTGCCAAAGATTTTACACAAGAGTTTACAGGTTGGTTGGTTGGAGCCAATTTCGTGTGCAATTTATTGTTGCCCTGGTGCTGATGTGAATATAAATATTTGCATATTTTCTGACAGGATTGCGGGATGGATATCCGGAAGGAAATGTCGCAGCACATCTTCGTCACGGGAGGATGCACCATGTTGCCCGGCTTCGTGGAGCGACTCGAAGTCGAGCTGACCAAGCTTTGTCCGCCCCATTTGAAGCCCAAGGTACGTTGTAGGATCACCCACTCGAAAGGAGGCGAGGTTGGTGAAATGGGTTCAAAAGGCAGTTCATCAGAGAGAAATTAATAACTCACCAAAGGGTGACCAGCTTCCTTCTGCTTTTCACCCATCTCGTCCGTCCCATTTCACTTTCATTTCAGTGCATTTCACTTTCCCCAGCCAGAGAGCTATGCAAATTACATAGCTCTCTACATAATACTATCATATTCACATAATGTAATACATGTATACCGTTAATTTCAGATTCAAGCTTCGCCTTACCGATACCACGCCAGCTTCATCGGTGCCTCCGTCCTGTCCACGACGGAGGCATTCGAGAAGTCCCTGATACATCGGAGCAAGTATGACGGAGGGCCGGGACCCACCCACTGGACCGTCTAAGGACCAGGAAATCTAAGAAATTAGTTTCCTCTAGTCTACTCTCTCTCTCTCTCCCTCGGCACACTCGATATTTCCAAATTGGTCACAATTTCCCATTTGCTCGCACATTCCGAATTGAAATTATGTCCCGATGCGTAATTATTTTGAGATTCCGTGTGATTTTTTTAGCGTGATCTGACAGTAAATGATTTTGCACACTGATTTAATTTTGTTTCCCAATCTTGACTAGATTAATTGTATATTTATTTCGAAAAATCTTTGTAGAAAAGTGAGCATATTTTTTTCCTTGATAAATTCATGTTGTGATATCGACGCCTTTTTCGATAGATTGATGACTGTTATCAGGTTAAGATTTAGGGATAGATTTTAGTAAAAATATTATTAATTAAGCATTATAATGACGCCTCACTTTATACGTATAACTACATAACTATTTTGGTAGAATAGTTTGGAAAAATGCAATTAAGTCTTAAAAGACGACGTCAATAAATAAATTTTTGAATTTACAAAAGTAATGTAATTACTCGCATTTAATATTTAATTGAAACACTAATTGTAAGCACATGAAGATTTGTACTCTCAGCGAAGCAAGTAATGCCCATCTACAAATATGCAATGTTTTTCGAAATTTTGCAAAAACCCTCAATGAACCAGATCAGTTTACAAATTGTCGTAATTTTAATACATAATTAGCTGAGTTACTTAATATAGTTCAGTTTACAAAGTGGCATAAATGTTTTACAATTGTACATGATTTTCAAATGTCTCAAAATTCCCAATTTTTTCAATGAATTCACATTTCTTGGCATTTAGGGACCCACACGAGCTGCTAACTTAATGGCAAAATAATCGTGCTGGGTAGAGAAAAATGATGACTCGCACATTGTAATAAAGGAAATGGAACTGTCACGTCCGTGACACTGGGTGAGATAAATATGTGATTATCCAGGAAAAAGTGGCTCACGTTCTCATGGAGGAGAACGAGCCGGTGGGGTCGTTTGGCTGCCCACCTGATATCTGATTAATCTCTCCTCCCTCCGCAAATTGGTCTCGACATGCGAACCCGTCAACCAGGGGAAAAAGAGTGAGTCGTCACTTTCTGCCGTCACGAAGAGGCGAATCTCTCCCATGCACCGTTTCATCACATCCTCCACCAAAAGGCATCAGGATAATGAAATGTCACCTCTTCTCTGGGACGGAATCATGTCACGGTCCGTGCTGGTCGTAACCGCCAAACTCGAAAAAGCACTCATCTTTACCCCCTCCATCAAGGCACTAATTGAGTCTCTCGTTAACTTTTAATTGCATTTGTCACCCCGTCCGATCCCATTATTCGAAGCAGACTCGGACCACAACCTGACTTTGTCTGAGACGAAATCACAGCCGATGGATTCGTACTCCTCTCTCCATTCAACCCAACCAGGGCTGTGTCTGATCTCGGAGAGAGAGAGACAGAGACAGAGAGAGAGAAGAGAGAGAGATAGGAGGACAAAAAATGGGAAAAATGACTTCGAGATTTTGCGGATGGGCCCGAAATGCGGAGAAGATGCTCCCCTTTTATTAACGACGAGACTGAGCACTCGGGATCCACTCCACTCTCTCCCACACTTTGTAAACAGTGTGGAGAAATAAAGTTGCGAATTTCTTAAAACCTAAAGTGTGCAAAAAGTGGAGGCTCAAAGAGAATGCAGAGAATATTCTCCCCTCGTCACCATCGTCATCTCCTCCTCGGCCCAGTCAGTCTCAATAGTTGCATAGTCGTCGTCGTCGTCGTCGTCCTCCAACTAACTTTAAGCACCAGACCAGCCACACTGGTGACGAATATGTACACAGAACCAGGCGACCAACACCAAGGTTGCTCCTTGGTCCACACGCCCAGAAAACTCTAGCTGACAAAATTATCCAAACTTACAAATTATCCCCAACTCGCATTTCGTCAGGAATTAATTAATAAGAATTAATGAGCCATTTAAATTAGTGATGGCAGTGTGAGAGGCGGTGCAACCCTTGGCTAGATAGTTACTGACAAGAGTGAGTGCTTTGTGGGAGGGATGGAGGCAGCCCTGGTTAGTTGCTCATCTTGACCTCGCGTAGGTGGTACGAGGACCATAGAAACCACCCCAAGATGTGTTCAAAGCTGGTGTCGTGATTATTTTGGGGATGCCCAAAACGAGGTCGAGGGAGAAAGTTGTGCTGGACAGCGGCGGACTAGAATGTGCACGCGTATCGATCGTGGCCTCCTTTGGTCGACGCTCGCATCCAGAAAAGAAGCATATTAATCTCCCATCATTGGCCAATCTGGGATGAATTGGCTGACCAAGTGAAAGCAGCAGCAGCAGCAGCAGAAAAGGATAACAGTTCCAGTTTGGGAGTAAAAAGGTGCGTGGATAAATTTAGTCTCTCAGGTTTGGCAAAATGTTTCAAACTGGGAGAAATTTGGGTACAACAGATTTGCAAAATCTGCATGAAAATGTGTGAGTGAGTGAATCCCCCAGCATGGAATATTTGGGATTTTATTTGGTGTGCACAACGCAGCCATGAAATGATAGGGAACGCTTCGTCTTCATCATGCTCATCATTACATCGCAATCTATCAAATCAGGAACGAGACAGACATGCTTTCTCTTCCAGACTGAGTGAGTGAGTAGACGCACCGTCGTAAATATGCGGGGTCCGTGCAGATCGGATGTGGCCCATCTCATCTCCGCTGCCCCCACCATGTCCAGGCTACACAGCCTGCGTGAGTAAAAGCCACCATTTCTGCACTGCTCCCAGCACGAAACTCACAAAATCTTACGACTTTCTCCCAGGAAAGATTATCAGTCACATTAACAGTATTTTGCTCAGTGATTCATACGATACACGCGATTTGCAAGCCTGCTCCATCTTCTTATTGGCATCACTCAGAGGACGAGGAGGCTCTGCGGAAAGAACGTGGTCTCACTCGTCTCGCCCTATGTCGAGGGTGGAAGGTGGTTGTTGAGCCGGACAAGAAAAGCGGTCCCGCCCCTTCTGCCCGGTCCCTTCGACACAGCGAACAACATGATAAATCCTCATTTTCATTTCACTTCTTGTCAGAGAATCGCTTTCTTGGTGAATGTAATTCGAGGGGCGTTTTCGACTTTCTCCACCGACTGAGAAAGTATAACTTTGGGGGCGAGTTTGGTGGGAGAATTCAGTCACGAGCTGGACGACATTGTCATCTTTCCATTGTCTCTGATTTCTAAAATTACACATATTCTCTCTCAGCAAAAGGATTCAGTTTTTTGTAATATTCAGGAACTCTAAACATTGGAAAACGAAAGGTGGGTTTCTGTAAATCTTACTCCTTCAAACTTCTTGGTGCTCAGTTCGCTCCCTAAACAAAACCAAAACCTGTCCTCCTGCATATTTACCAAGGCTTGCTTTTCAAAAAAGACCTTCTCACATGGAATTTGCATAAGCACCCAACTCGAGTAGCCGTGCAGAGAGGAGTCAATCTCTTTCTGCCTCCTCTCTTGGCGACATGGTGCGGAAGGGGCAAATTGCGATCGCAACTTTTCCGCACGGCCCCGTACGTAAACAGACAACAAGTTCTCACCCAATAAACCTTGCTTTTTCTCGTCTCACCAACCGAATAGGAGGCCAGACTCACCTAGAAAGCACGACACCCAGCTCTGCACCTCGACATGAACAAATGTGGACGGATAAACGGGATAGACGATATTGGCACCGTCTCACTTTGCATCCCCCATTCGTACACTTTGTATTCATGCACGGCCATTTACATATTCCTCTGGTGCGAGAGGAGGATATGCAGTCACCTCGAGGACGTAAGAACCAAGTTACGCGTGCACATTTCCCATTCGTCCTCCGTCCCGAGTCAGAGTCAGTGTCACCCAGATTTATTTGGCAGCTCGTCTCACAGTGCAGTCCTTACTTAGTCGGCCAGTTAGGAGCACTCGCTAATGATCCATGTGCTCAGCCAGTTACACAAATGCGTGTTTTTCTACAGATGGGAGTAGCACGATGTGGGCGAATATTTGGATTCGTCAACATCCTCCTCGTCGCCCTCTTCCTCGTCGTCGCCCTGAACAAGGCCGAGGTGACGGCGTATGAATACCACCCCACTTCCGCCACCACCACCAGCCCGGCCTCGTCAGAGGAAACGGATGGGTCGTCCGGGGTGACACCACCTCCATCACCGGTCAACAAGCTCCTCGTCATCATGATGGATGGGTACGTGGCTGACCAAATATTTATCCAACACACAATAAACCTGATGGATTCCTCCAGTTGGGATACTTTTTGGCCCAATAATTTGTCCAAACATGAATTTACTCTTAACTAACTTGTCCAACTTAGCTCGTTGGACAATTTGTCAGCGTCCCAATTTTTCATAATTTTAATCTTATTTTAACTTTTTCCAAATTGAAGTGGTCCACAGAAGTTGCGTATTTTTGAAAACATGTTTCCTTATGGTTTCTGGGATTAGATTCCGGTGGGACTACTACGACCAGTCGAAGGGTGAGCTGCGGGGCTTCCCCCTGTTCCTGAAGGAGGGTGTGCAGGCAGAGTGGGTGGAGCCCATCTTTCCCTCCGAGTCCTACCCCGCCTGGACGACCATCTCCACCGGCCTCCACCCCGAGAACCACGGAATCCTGGCCAACTACATGTTCGACCTGAAGCACGGGGCCGTCTTCGACCTGGACGACGACTCCTCGACGAGCAAAGTCTTGTGGTGGCAAGACGCCGAGCCCATCTGGATCACGGCCACGAGGCAGAACAAAAAGTCCTTTCTCCACCTCTGGTCCAGGTGCGATGTCCCCTTCCAGGAAATCCTCCCCCATCGCTGCTCCGGCTATCGACCAGGTGGGTGTGCAGAGTCATTTCCCACTACGTGCAATCCTACCAAATACGACTAGTTCCATTCCTTTGTATGCATATCTGGGTCACCAAGTAGCGTCCTTAATAATCCTGCAACTCCTACTCTGACCTCTGCTCCCATTACTTTTCTTAATTACAATTACTCTCCAGTGTATACAAATATGCTAAAAAAATCTAGCGACAACAACTTAATTCTGTTTCCCTTACTCTCCAGCGCCCGGCATAGATCAATTTCGAAATACGCTGAACCTAGCGGTGGACAGTCTCCTGAAGGACTATGAATTGGCCATGGTACAAAATTACCACATTTAAATACCTCTCCCATAAATGAAACAGTTAACTTTTTCCCACCATAAACTAGGTTTACAGTGAACACCTGGACATTGTGGGGCACGAGTTCGGTCCATACTCGGCCGAGTTGAAGCAAACCATGCGAGACCTCGATGACGCCATGTACGACTTTTTGGACAGGATGGCCGACACCGGGCTTGACGACAAGGTGCTCATTCCTCCAATTAGCCGCATATTTAGTTAATTAGTACGCCAGCTATTGTGCATTTGCAGGTGAACGTGATTGTGGTGAGTGACCATGGGATGACGTGGATTGGGGGTGGATCTGGGACCGTGTACGTCCCCGTGGGCGACTATGTCAACAGCAGCTACGTCTACAAAGTTCTCGGAAAGGGGGCCATGATGCAGATTGCGCCCTACAGCAGGAGGATAGACACTGTAATTGCATGTAGTGGAGAGCTCTTATCGAAACCACGTGGTCACCTAATTTAATGTGTGTCCCTCAGGTTTACGAGAACTTGAAGGGCCGGCGCGGCTTTGACGTGTACCGTCGCGACGAGATTCCGGACGAATACCACTTCAAGAACCACCGCCTTGTGCAGGAAATCCTCCTCGTGGCGCAGCCCAACTTTTACCTCCAAGGGCTCCAAAGTTCCCAACAGGTTCCGCGGAGTCCTACCTACGTCCCCTTCAGGCCCCAACGTGGCACGCACGGCTACACCAATATGACCGATATGCGCACCATTTTCTTCGCCAGGGGGCCAGGTAAAAACATTTCTTTGCAAAATTCTCACTTCCCTAATTTCACATGAGCAGATTCATGCCAAACTTTGTGAGGGACGATTTTTGCCAAAATCATAAGCCATGTTACGTGAATATCATCCAATATTTTACAAAGTTTGCACGGTTAGATACGAATCTAGTAAAATTTTAATAAAATTCGGTCCCCGCAGATTTCAAGAAGGGGATCGTCCACCCTCCGATCCATTTGGTGGATGAGTACCAACTCTTCGCCAAGCTGCTCCACCTCCCCGCCCAGCCGAATAACGGGACGTGGTCCAAAGTGGCGGGGATGTTGGTCAGTGCTGCCAGAAGAGCGTCGTCGTCGTCACCCGGCGTCACCCTCGCCACACTTTTGCTCGTTCCATTACTTTTAATTTTACATAATGACTAAGCCACCAATTTCTGGATAAGCTCCGCCGCCCGCGCCCTCATCCTTCTGCACACACTATTTTTTGTCTCGAATAAGGTTTTATATTCCTGAAAGCTTTCCATTGTTTGTCGTAAACTTACGAAAAACAGAATTTTCCACGTATTCACGTAACTCGTACCATGAATTGATCCATAAAAAAGACTTTCCTACAAGCAAAGTGTGATGATATGTTGATTAATTAGTTAATTCGTTTCCGCCAAGCGGTATCCAAGCCTTGGATAAGGTTTTCATTAATTGGCGGGATTTTATCATGATGACAAGAAATTCATTTGTCTGGAAACCGGAAGCAAACTCGTGTGAGAAAACAGTTTTACTCTAGTTTGTCCGGCCAGTGATACAAATACGTATTTATGCAAATAAATAACGACCCATTATTATTACACATTTAGTTACGATTGATTAAGCATAACAAGAAGTTAATTGCATGTGCGGCCCCGAATTATTCGTCAATATTATTGTTATTTTGACACCGTTGCGTTTATGTATGCAACAAGAACAAGACGAATTATTTCGCAGGGAAGAGTGAGTTCCTGGAATTATTTTTCATTACGAATCACAAATCATACTTACAATTAGTTTTAGCTAAAAAATCACAAACGAATGTTCATTAGTCGGTAAGGGAAGATTCAATTTTATTTTAAGTACTGATCTTGAAATTATTGTTAATTGTGATCAAGAGAGAAACTTACCTTCTTATCGTCCAATCCAGTCGAGATAATAATGCAGAAGTAGCCAAGTAAGAATGCACGCACGCAAGTGGTTGGTTCGTGGTGCTAATTTGTACCTATGTATTACACATTATTACAATACTACAGAGATTCAATACAGAGAAATCCAATCATGGAAAATGGAAACAATAAATATTATTTGCCATAAAAATAGAAATTTCTGCTAGAGAATCTTTTAGAGAAAAATACAAGAATTTTAAAAAATTTCGGGTTCAATAAGATTCAAAGCCAGTCCAATTTATCAATAAAACGGAACGATAACAATAATCAAGGATTTTAAAAACGTGATTTTATGAAATCTTATAGAGAAATAACTGTAATTGCATGGGTTTAGCAGACTATTTATGAGATTGAAATTGGGATTAATTTTTACACAATTTTGGGTGCTATTGTTTCCTAGATTATAAAAAAAGAAAAGATGCAGATTTTGCAAAATGATCAACATAATGTGTAAATATAAATAAATGTCTCAAACTGTGTTTCAAAAAAATTGTTTAAAATTATGATTGTTAAATTTTTAGGTGAGAAAAAAATTCAAAAAGTCAACACGAAATAGTGTATTTATTTATTCAGGACGACTTTTAATAATTTGTACCGTATACTTATCAATATTCTAGATAATACAAAATACTTAATTTTTATCTTATCGTCGACACACACCTGTTAGCATTCCCTGAAAAAAAACAAGTTATCGAATCCTCTTAATATATAATTCAAACGACGAAAACTACAATAGTAAGTACTGATTTAGACAAAGTGCACACTTTCCTGTCGATTTTACGACTACTATTCTAAACACAGTGGAAAACGTAAGAGTGTAAATTGTAAAGTGAAAATAAATTCATGTCAAAAAAGCTATCAGTATTTGAAGTGAAATTATTGACACCTTTTTTCAACCCGAATTTCGCCTACTACAACTTTTGAATTTCTCAAATTTGGAAAAATTATACTGTCTTTTTTCACGAGTTAATTTTAGTTCGTTGCTCAAGTTTTGTCTAAAGCTCATTTATTTTTGTATTACTTAATTGGACAACATTCATGTACGAAATCCCGTTTTTACCAAATAGCAAACCGCACACCCCAAGGACAGAGTCAGATGAAGAAGAAATTACAAAATTCGCTCTACAATATTTAACTCCAAATCTAAATAAGTACTGAAACAGTTAACTAAATAAATTCTAATAAATTCTAAAGTATAATTTTAGCACTCTTTTTTTAGAACGGAATGATTAACTCATCAAAATCTAAGTTCATGAATATGGACGAGTCATTTTCCCGTCCAAATCGTTTACAGTAAACTCATAATTATTCACCGACGAAAATTACACCAATCAGCTATTCGAATTATTTATTTATTTTTATTTATTACTTATTGCCCAAACTAATTATTTTCAAAACGAAGGGACAAAGTAGTAGATGTGATGGATTTTAGCTTGATTTTGACCCCTGGATGTCATCCTGAAATTATCCTAATTTTTTTTAAACGCTATCTTCTATCTTATCCAATATTATTTTAGACTCTGGCATTTTTTGCATCGTGCCCGCTTCCGTTTCAAAGTGTTTGAATAATGTCGTACTTCTTTTTTAAGTCGATATTCTGATTTTTGGGGTCCATTTTGTCCTTCTTCCTGGCCGCGAGCTTGGCCCGCATCTCGGAAGCTGTCATGTTCAAGTCGAGCCCGTTGGCATTGCTCCCTGACGAGGATTTGGTCAGCATGGGGATGGGCGAGGGGGACGCCGAGCTGGGCGTGGTTGACATGGCGTATGGCGTGGGGGATGGACCGCCGCCCAGCGAGCTGCCCCCATCGTCGTCAACGCTGTGGTTTCCATTCCCGTTGTAGCCGTTCTTTCCACGATGGTGGGTGGGGCTGTGGGAGGCGGAGGAGGAGTGGTGGTGGTGAGCAGCCTCCTCCTTCTTCAGCGAATTCGTCTTGCTCTGAAATTACATGGACAGGAATTAGTTTCTGAGGAATTCTGGAGGAAAGATGGGGGCCCGCTCTCCCACTTTCGAGTCACAAGAAAATAGTGGCAAAGAAGGAGCACATCCTTTCTGCACAGGGATCGAGGGGGTAGATATGCGTGACCACGCCTCGTTAAGCTACCAGACTGCAGACTCGTTAAGTTACCAGAACGGAACGTATGGTCGGAACAAACAGATCTGATGAGACCCGTTCACGCAAAGTGGTCAGACCAATATTGAGCTATTTCTCTAAAGTGGGATTCGAATCCCAAACCAAAATAGTTCTACTTCAGAATTTAGACAGGTTTGTCATGGTTTTGTCCATAGTTTGCAAAAATATGTACCAAAAATGGAGTTCTGGTAGGTAGGAAATACAAATTTCCTGGAAATCACGTTATGTTTTATGTTGGTACGGAAGTCTTCGTGACGCGCTTCCACCAATTTGTATTGTATTGTACATATCTCTCCATTCAAGTATTTTTCCCTAATCAGACACTCCACTGTTCTACCCTTGGTGACACAAACAACAAATTTTATGCAGTCTCTATAAAACATTGTTATTCGTTATGCCTTTAATTCCTTTCTCCTAAAGTGAGTAAGCTAAATATGCACAATATAACACGGGCAGTAAAGATGGAATAGTTGGTTGAATATGATTTGGTAGGAATACTTTTCGCAAATGATGACTATTCTATTCTATCCACAATCGTCCAAATAGCAAATTTGGCAAATAATGCCAAATAGCTACCAAATAGATCTCATTGTTAACTATGGCTCAAGTCCCCAAGGAGTAAAGTACAAATAAGCGTAAAATGCGGGTATGTGCCCATGGAAGAAAGTTTGCCCCGCACCTTCTGCACGGTCCCCTGGTCACAATGAGGAATTGATCAATCGGTCAATTGACAAGATTTATCGCTGCGAAGGAAAAGGGAACGAAACATGCGGAAGTGAAACAAAGGAGTTTTAGCGTCATCCCACTTTTACGATTTGCATTCCTCGTCAGCCGACGGCCTCCCAATCTCAAGTGACATCATACGCTCTCAGAGAATCCTTCATCGACGGACGGACGTTGATTATTAAGATGTGCCCAATATTCAGATTCCTACACGAACTGATCAGCATTGCCTTGTAAATATTTTCAGCCAACTGCGACGACGAGTGTTGCCATTTTCTAGAAGAGATAGTCCCTGCAGTGCCGATGGGTTGGTCGTATGTACACTTGTCATAGCACAACTCTATGAGTGGACACTACACGAAGCGCAGTCCTTAGGCCTACCTTAGCAGTGCATATATGCATCATGCATAATTGCAATTACTCAACGAGAAATCTGCATCATCAACCGCTCGTCTATTTTGACTTTGCTCAAAAGTAATTATTTCAGTCTAATCAGCTAAACGGATATCGAATCATAATTATTTCAATGACTGGGACGAGGTGACAGAGTCAGTTTATCCTCGAGAGGAGATTTATCCCTATTTTTTAACGCTTTTGTCCCCACCACGTGGCCCAAAATCAGGATTTCATGTCCAGAATTTCATGTCCAGAAAATGAATGAGTGAAATTGCGGGTTGGAAAGTGCACTCGTGGAACCGCGTGTCACTTTTGGTATCCTCGTTTTCCTATTTACCAAGCCGCAGAAAAGCAAAGTCTTTAATCTGCTTGACCATTAAGTGCTAGTCGGCACTCGGCCAGGGTTCTGCTTCGCTGTAGCCAGTGAGGATTTGAATTGTCCCTTTGTTTCGAGATGTGTTTAAATTATGAAACCGTGTTTAAATATTTTATGACTGATTGTTTCCACCACCACCACACCGCATCATTATTCAATCCGTTAACCACCACATCGTTGCTTCGCTATAGAGTTCGTTAGTCGGTAAATGTACGGACGGAGGGCTTGATGAGATACGACACGAATCGAATATTTACATGCGAATAATGTTTAAAAATCTTTTTTTTAACGGACAAAGGCGCAGATTTCTCTTTCCCTTCGATTAAATTGGTTGGTGATTCATTTCCAATAAGTAAATACGAGTGGTATTAATTCCGATTGGGTGGAGAGGAGTGTGCGGAAATGATGTCGTGCACACTTGAGGATCAAAAAGAGTGCATCAAAAATGACCACACACACTTTACGCAGGTTCTCCTCACAATTTGTCACATTTCCGACGGATTTAAAAATAGGATTGCATTTCCTGTCTGTGCAAAAATCGGAATTGGACTAATCTCAGTCGGATGCGTGTATACATAAATGCGATCACGTTACAAAAGCCAGAAATCTACATCTCTCTTTACTGCACTCAATTAAGTGCATTTGAAGGTGCTTAATTTCTAGTTATAAGCTCCATATTTCACTTATGTACATTTACATGCATCGCCCATTGACAGACACAAAAGGCACCTTCCAATGGCGCTTCTAGGAAACCCTGGTTTTAGATTTATTTCATTTTTATCATAACAATTTCACAAGTGCAAAAACAATGGTCACGTCGCAAAGTTTCTGAGCAAGAAACTGTAACTCGACTATCCTGGTTTGGTTAGGAATATCAAATCCAAAATCCGTTTTGCATAATTTGCAAAATACCTTAGGTTAGGCATAAACGATGTCACATTTTTCAGACCCCTCATGGGTTACACCCACCTTGAGCACGTGGCGCAATGGAGCCGTCACGTGAAAAGCTCTCGTGACACTTCCCACCGGACATATCACCCCTCGCCAAATTTATCTCATGCGATTTTGACATTGACCATGTTCCAGCAAGAATATACGCGTCGCAGTATTTCTTCAGAGAGAAGAGTAACTTTTATGAAGCATGCAATTTATGCGTATACATATGCAGTACATTGACCCATAAATCTGCATACTATGTACATTTTACTGCATGCAGTTGGCCGACCACGATTGAGTTTTTAACAAGGGACGAAATATTTATCCCTCGCAAAAAATGAGTCACCAAAGGACAATGCAATCTATTCGCTCTTGATAAATAAGTAATGCGGGCTAAAAATACAGCCTACAAATGTTTTCACTAATCAACCATGTAACTGGGTCATTAAATCATTAATTACTCCTTTAATTGGAAGGTGGGGCGATTGGGTTTGATCAAGATTTGAGCCGATTGCAAACCCTGACCCCCACTGCTCAATATTTCAGTGTGCGCATATAATAATTCACACATCCAATTAGAGCCCCTGTCTCTGTTGATTCTCATTCCGTCCTCAGGGTCGTCCCAGAGTCGACACAATTTCACGACAATGCAGACTAAGTTTCATCCCAAAGTCACAATCATCATCAGCAAATGGAATGTCTTCCCGTGCGCCATTAACAAGGAATGGCTGATTAAATTTATTTCGTTAACTATGTAAAAGTCCACGAGGCCGCGTTGCCTTCGATGTGCGTGGTTTAGGTTGAAAATGAAAGTGATTACACGCTAAATCATGTGGGAGCAAAAATTTTACCCAAGAAAATATTGTGCAGGAAGCTCAAAATGTCCAATTAGAAAAGCCGGCTTTAGTTTGTGATACAATTATAATTAGGCATACTCGTACAGACAAGAAATTCCATGCTACTGACGGGGTAAGGACACAACTTAACTCGAGGATAATTTGTTGTCACATTATTTACAGTGCAGAACAAATCAGAACGGCCGATTTTGACCTTTCTAATGCCCACGTGAAGTTTGGTGAGGGGTGAGGTTTCGCCCTGAGAAAAAATCCCCTCCCTTCTGCAAAGCTCCAGAGGGAATCGTGGGATTTCATCCTCTTGAAACATTCATCATTCAATTTGATCCTCGAAGCCTCGAAGTCCGTGGGACCCTCCAAGTATTACGCCGTTATAAATCAGAGGGAAAATCCGTTCCATGCATCCATACGAGTAGAAAATAGGAGTAGTGGGTATACTTTAATTACTCTACGTCCTCCTTGAACGACCCTGACGGAGTGAAAGCCATGAATGAAAGTGGACCAATTGAGCTTGAAATACATATTCGTCTACAATCAGGGAACAATAATGGTTACCCATCTTGTTTAATTGGGCTCCCATTGTTTCCCAATTAGCTCGTTGCGCAAAGTGTAATTACCCACACAATATGTTTACAAGAGTCGTTCGGATTGTGAAATTTCTAGAGGACGTAATTCCGACCTGATTTTGCTCCAACCTAATAACCATACCCCGGACAAATATTTTTTTATCCTACCCTACTCGTGTTGAGCTCAACATGAGTAGGGTAGGATAAAAAAATATTTGTCCGGAGTATGCTAATAACCCACACACACCGTTGTTGCAGTGCTCACTGCTGAGCAGCAGCGAAACCAAAACCAGGAAAAGGAAACGAGATATTTTTCTCCAATGAGAACCCAAACCTGTCCATGTTTTTCTTCGCGAATTTCATATTCCACGAGCATTGTCATGATCCAGCTAAACAAATGCTTGCACATGGGCCCGTGCAGGAAAGTCGTCCTGGATTTCGACCCATTTTCACCCATTGCGAGGGAGATGCCACTCTACACGCGCAGCCTCCAAACCCTGTTACTCATCGAGGGAGGATTGGCATTGGAAACACCTGTCTGCTCTACGTACTAAAATTTCCTATTATTTCCATCATTTTTCGCAAATAGAACACGAAGCCTGCAAAAAATTGGCAAATAGCATGCCACCAGACGGTTGTCTTGGTGCGGCTGTGCAGAGAGGATGTGCAATATCCTTTTTCCGAGGTCACACCACAATGTCCACTCCTCCGCAAAGGCTGGATTGCAGAGACCGCAGAGGATTCGTTGCCCTTGTCTGGAGTAGGTCGCGTCCTTTCTGCACGGCTCAGAGTCATTTTATTTATCGCATTTTGGGAGGAAAATTGCTCAGATCGACCCTGAGACCCCAATGTCGGTGGGAGCCAATTGTGCCGGTAGAAAATTATGAGGATGCATGATCAAGCCAAGTCATAAAACATGACATAATTCCACCATGCACATGCCCCCAATGGCCGCCCCTCCTTATGCTCCCACACACACGAGGCTCAACGTGAGGAATAAGATGCTGGATAAAGAGCCAAGTACGCAACGTGACGTGACGCACCGGCACATTCATATTTATATCGCCGCAATTATTATTCCTCCAGAGACTGACTTGACAATGGGAACTCCATCCATGCACACGTCTTAATTTTACCATTCGAGTCAAAGTACTGGAGAGCACGACCTCATTAAACGAGGCTTTTAATCCCTGTCTTCAATATCCGATATTTTCCGGCCTGATTTTTGCACGACGTAGGCCTTCCCATGCAGCATCGATATCGTTATTTCATTCCCCAGTGTAATTATCGAACCGACTGGGCATGCGGTTTCTCCTTGTTGCAAAGTATCGAGATTCCAAGCGCAATAATGGACTCGAAGGAAGCCCACGTGACAATGCTTCATGCTCGTCGTCGTGGTAGATGTTTTTGGACCATTTTTTTGGGATTGGTATTCAGCCCGGGTGCGACCTTCTTTGCGCCACTTGAAATGCAAATGTTGGGAAAACAATGAATACAAAGTACACAACCCATGCCATTCAATTTCAATCCTCCCAAATATTTGGTTTTCCTCCTCCGCCATCATCAAAATGTTAAAATTTTGCACTATCCTTCTCCGCACGGGGAGAGCTTGGCCGTGCAGAAAGGACGGCATCCCCCACTTCACCTCAAGTTGGTAGCGGAAAATCAGCCACATCTTTTCCGCACAGCCCTCGAGTGTCATAATTATGTGATGCATACCTTTTCGTAAATTAGCACAGTACCAGCATGCAGCATGATGATGAAAAACCAGGCATGAGAAAGTCGCAATTGAGACGTCCCAAATTGCAAAAATGCAAATACACCTCTCTCCCATTCAACCCCATCTCGTCAATTCCACCGTGTTGTGAATTAAAGTGCAAAATTTGCATTTAAACAGTGTCATCATCTTAATCCATTCCCTGTTGCTTTTTGATTTACGGAATCAAAATCAAAGCTGAGACCAAGACAGCTTCCCGATTTAAATAGTGACTCACCCACAAGAAGACTTTCCTCGTCAATATGTGGCTGACCAGAACAAGTCGTCACCGTGGGTCTATCTATTTAACTACGTCGTGCATACTTTGCACATTTATCTGCCATTCAAACAGAAGGATAAGCAGGCCCAACAAATATTTTGTACCAGGAGCGCAGGAGGCGTTGCATGCATGCATACGTTTCAGCGAATAAACTGCAAATACTGATCCCCAACGAGACGAAGGAGAAAAGGTGTCACATTTGTGGATGCTGTATTTACTTATCGATTCCATAAACAAATAAGTCATGCAAAAGAGCAAAAGGAGGCAAAAAATATCATTGCTTTTATCACCACCACCACCACAAAGTTTTATCACATATTGTACAATACTCTCGTCCCAATAATCAGCCATTATCGGGCAAAAGTATGCGTGTGACGGATGTCAGAGTGCGACGTCAATGCATGTATTTGCATATTTCTATTATTGAGGTTGAGACTGGATAAATACATACGTATTTATTACGAAATTTGCTCGATATTTGTGAAATGCAACTGTCCGGTTTTTCCAAATGGGACAATTTTTTAGGGAAAAATATGTGGTAACACGAGTAAAAAGTGCGTAAAGGATGGGAAATATTTCGCAAAGAAATTTGTGGTCATAAAGGGAATGATGAAAAGAGGAGCAAAACTTTGATTTTTTGTCGTCACTCTAATTTTTGTAATTTCGACTGTTTTTCTGAAAAGTAATAAATTTTCCAAGCGCCTAATTACGTGACCTGTCTGCTCATAATTGATTACTCATCTGTCCAAAATACAGGTGGTTTGTATAAATAATTCCACCCTGATTGCCACCACGGCCAAATATTCGGCTTCGTGTATTGTTGAACATCTCGAAACCCTGTGGCATCCCGGTCTGAAAGGAAACTAATTGCGAATTTAATTCCAATTTAAATCCTTTCTGCGAATGTGGATCTCTGTGCGGCTAAAAATTGTCTGGTTTGGTTTTCTCCTCGTGTGCACAACTGTTGCGAAGTCGTCGTCCGGCCGGCGGATCGCAGATCTCGCCTCGTCAAATTAATATTCATGCTTCGCCCTAATTTTCACTCGAGTTATCAGAATGCACATTACGCGAGAGGGCCTCGCACAAAGGATGGCGTCTCCTTCCGCCCCCGTCCCCATGTCCAAGGGTGACCTATGCCTCACCCTAGGTTAGACTTCTTACAGGTTTTACAAATTTCGAAAATTCCTACAAAACTTTGCAACAGAAATGTGTAGCCTCGTAGCGATTTGCTTGCATGAATTTGTAAATACATCATGTTGCCAATTCGAAATATGGCAGGAATGCAGGCAAGTCGTCAACAAGCATCGACTTGGCATAGTTTCACTTTGAGAGAGACGTGCTGTACATGTTGTCTCTTACAGATGCAGTCAGTCGTCGTCACTAGTCGTCAGTGGTGGTGGTGGTGGTGGTGGTGACGACGGTCGGACAACAGTGCCAAGAATGGTGGTGTCCACCTTAAGTGAGTGCGACTTCTCTCTTTCCGTCGCCGTCATATTCCAACGCCAGTGAGTATGCAACGACGCAGTTTTAGGACTGCAGGGATATGCAGAAAGTGGTCAAATTCCTCATCCATTTCAGATTTCTTTCAAACGAAGGAAATTTAATATTACCTTGTTAATTGACGTCTATTCAATAAGCTGCATTTACATATTTTTGTAAATATGCAAATGACACTCGCATTCCTTCCTTCCTACAACGAACTACTTGTTGCGTGTCTATGCATGGTGAATTCTTTGCCAGTTTTGCAACGATGAACATGGGAGAGCATCACGAAACAAGATCACGTCCTTCATGTCACTCCCCACAAATTTAATTTTATTACGAAACTACTCGTAGAAAATGTGGCCTGAAGTGAAAAACGAGCAGACATGGAGTTCTGCATTCTCATGAAAATGAACATTTTGACATTTAATCCTCGTCACATTTATTCTTACAAGAATTATCGCTGGACAAGTTTCATGCAGGCAGCAGGAAGAAGAAGAATTTGACCCTTCCAACCAATCGTCCGTCCTGAATTTTAATTCCAAACAGGTCTCAAAACTATGATGCCGGGTAATTAATTGGCTTTTTTCCTGCCTCACAAAAAAAACGTGCGCCGCCTGGGTCTGAATTCTAACCCTGATTATGATGGGATTTGGAAATTATATACTTTTTCCTGGAATAATTCATCTTTTCATTGGAATAATTTGCATTAATTTTATACAACTCTGGGCTTATCTGCGCTTGCATAGAGGAGATTGGATTTACGAGCGAGCTCCTCTTTTTATGACCACGCACGCTGCACAGGCACAACAACATTGCATTGCATGAGATGGGGACGTTCAGTACCGTCGTAAATGTACGACCTGCAAGTTTGCTTGGTAGTTGATGAGCGAATTAAGGAATTATTCCCACAACCACCGCCACACGATTAAATAATCCCAATGAAATACATGCATGCTAATAAATAATCTACAGAAATATTATTCCCTCTGCATGGGAAAAATGTCCTGCTCAAGTTTAACTTGCAGGCGTGGAAAATGTGTCATTCCAACAATTTTAGTGCATACGTGTACGCTTCAAGGTGAAGACAAAATTTCTGAAAAATATTTACTCAGCTTTCCTCCCAGTTAAATAATTTCCGACTTGAGGAAAAAAGAATCAGGGAAAAATCTATGCTTATGATACGAATGAAACGATGTCCAGCATTCGGAGAGGGGGGCAAAGGTGGGGAAATTGGTGTCTCGGAAGGGGGTAAAAGATGGGGTGTGAACTTACGGGTGAGGACGATCCGGATCCCGAGTGGTAGCTGTCCGACATTCGTGACGGCCTGTCCTCCTCGGAGTGCGTGGACCCGGCGTGATTGACCGTCTCGTTGTTGGTGGGGGTGAGGACGACGGTGGTGACGTTGGGGCGTGGCACGGGTGTCTGCTTGTACAGAACGTTCGGCATGGACCCCGTGACCACAATGTTCCTCGACTTGTAGAACTGGTCCGTCTTCTCGTCCATCACCAAGAGCTTCGTCTCATTCGGGACAGCCTTGATCCTCTGAACCACCTGCTTATGCTGCCACATAAAAAAAACAGGTCAAAATTTACAGCGGAAATTTCACCCCAGCGAAAATGCAAGTAGTCAAAAACTGGATAAGAAATCCATAATTTTTTAACAAAATCTAGAAATTTCATGCTATGAAATATCACATCTATTTTCACAATATTTCAAATCCCTATCATAAACAATTGAGCACTTTTTCCTAAACGTGCAATTAAATACTGTGTCAAATTTGAATTCTCGCTAAAATCTCTTCCCAACATTTTCTCCTCACATTTTCATTTGAAATGTTGGTATCATTGACTTCGATGATGCGATCATTCGCCTTCAATCCGGCCAAGTCAGCGGGCGAGTCCTTATCCACTTTGCCAATGTACTGGCCAGGCTTCGTCTTCTCGCCATGCAAATTGAACCCATAGCCGTCGAAATCTGGCCATTTGCTTAAATGACAGAGTCGCGGGGGTGGCGCGTCGTCCGGCAAATTGCTCATTTTTACTACTCACTCACTCGTTCCTCAGCGAGCAAATTCAAAATTGTCCAAAAAATCACGGCAACACCACTTGCTCAATAATCGATTTCGGAATATACCAACTTGTTTGGAAAATTGGGAGGCGACGACGAAATTGACGACGCACTAGTAGAATCCACCGCTCACCAACTCACACACCTTTAACGAAGCAACTAAGCAGGCTGCAATATTATTTTTCAATATATTTGTCAGTCGCACGACATCTCAACAACCACCACAACACACACCAGCAACTTGTTACTTGTTATTATTACCAACAACGCCATGAGTATATAGACAAGTGTTTAGTGGATTGGATTGTCCGTCCATGGTGAAATAACCAAAGGGTTGGAAGGGGCCGTGCGGAAGGGACGTGACCAATCTCCTGGTTCTACTACGTCGCAATCACAATGCTATCCAGGAGGGGAGAAGGTGCTCGGGACGCCATCCCTTTTGCACAGGCCCCCGACGTACTTGATCCTCCTCCTCATGTATTACATTATTTTCCTTACGTGCTCATTCAACGTGTACGAAATGAGAATCAGGATGCCATCCACCCAATCCACCTGCCACCACGAACCAGAGCCCCAAGTAACATGAGAAGAACAAGCCAGCATTCAACATGGGTCTCTTCTCGACTAGGATGCCATTAGGTGACCGGTTCATGAAACTGTGCTAAATCAGCCCCACAAAGAAATGCATACCTGTAACGATTCGAATTTAGGCAAAGTTCCCTTGAACGACTCTTTCAAAGAGGAGGAGGAGGATAACCTTATTCATTTCGTGGGCATGTGAGCGAGCGAGCGAGTGAGGTAGGTGACCAGCAAGCAGTAGGGTGTCCAACTTGTCAAACATGCAGGTGAGCAGATTGGAAATGAATGAGCTTTATTTATTCGAGAGGAAGTTTGGGCAAACCTTTTTTTAGCTAAGAAGAAACCACAGCCGTTTCCACGCACCGTGCGGAAAGCATGTCGCCAATTGGAAACGGGTCAAGGGCCTTGACTCAAGGCATCCCATCCTCCCCTTGTCAATTTAGTACAGAATAAAGGTCACCTCAGGGGTCAAAATTTTCCGACAATGGATCACATTCTTTATGCCGGGTTCCTTACGGAGGAGGATATGTGGTGGTTTTTCTGGTAAATTCGATCGTCACCCAAACACCCAGGAGGAGATGCGGGGACAAAATCCGTCTCCTCTTTTACATGAATCCAGCTAATCATCAGCTTATCGCAAGTATTTTAGCTGCACATCATATTTCTTGCATTCATTTGGATAAGCATGACGATACGCACGAATCTGCCGGCTAGATTTTTATCCGTGCATGCACAATCTACATCCTAATTCTTGTTGGCTTCATGCATCCTAAGTTTTTAAGTGCTTATTGAAAATTCCAGAAAAGCTTAAAGGTTGGAATAATTCAGTACTTTCCAAATTTTACATCTGAAATCCCATTTGATGTTTTTCACATTCATGACGACCCCCACATTTCCCTCTTTCCTGTCTTTTATACCCTTTAAAGCATATCGTGTGCCTGTTTGTATGCAAATCACCTTAATCTCTTGCTCCCCTGGTACATAAATAGAAGAATTATGACATTACAGGATTTACGAGGCTAGTTAAACAAATCGTGACATGTCAACGTTAAATTTACCCATGTTCTCACTTTTGCCACAATGCTTCATATTTGTCCTGGCCTTTGGAGGCCTGCCTAAACCATATTTTATTACCAGAAAACAATAAGTGTACAAATTTCTGCTGATTTGACATGTCACCCAGTACAGACAACATATTGTCGTGGTTCGTGTATACCATGGAGTTTATAAGAAAAGATTACGATCCCAAAAGTGAGCAATATGTTCCATTTAACGATGACAATCCTGTGTGGTTGCTTATTTAGCATGTGCTAAAATTGAGCACTGCTTGTGCCAATGCATGTGGTCAGGATACTGTTGTTGGCATTATTCTGCGATTACGACTCTTCGCATTGGTTTCCTTCGTCGTTTCCTTTTCTTTCGAGACACGGTGCAAAAAGGACGTGATCGACGCGAGTGAGGGAAATGGTCTGGGTCAAGGCGTCATTCTGCTACCCCTGGACAAAATCCGTCACATGTCTCATGCACGGTCGTCCCTTAATAAAGAGAGTTGAATAAATAGTCGTCTCTTAATAAGAGACGTCATGAGAGGGGGTCGTGCAGATCACCACTCACGACTCACTGCAGAGATAGCATGCGACCCCTCTCAACCCGAACAGACATCCCTCGCGCACAGCCCCACCCAAGTATTTACTGCACACGTTAAATGACTCAATAATTAAAAAAGACATGATGACAACCTCTCATAAAAGGAGACACAGGCAGGGCAAAAGTAAAATCTTAATGTTTACCGCACACCGTTTAATGACAAGTTCTTGGGACGACAAAAAGGATTCTTAAGCCAAGAAGAAGGAACGACGAGCCAAGGTCAGAGACAGCGTGGTTCTTGGTTTAGTGACTCGACTCCCTTCTTCTAGAAAAATGGCTTTTTACCACGGCCTGAATTGTGTCATCTCCCATACAACAACCAAGTACTTGTTAATTTCATTCCTAAACCTGACGTCTGCACATTAATTACTGGCCAAGGTTGAGTAATAAAATGGTATGAAATTGCATCCCAAATAATAATAACGTGTCATCCATCACTAGTAAATAATAATATAGTTATCACCGGATGACGACTCCGACCGGAAATGGAGTCCTATCAATATGCATTCGCTAAAATTGTAGCAATAACCTTACGAACCGCATCCAGACCAAACTGTGCAGAATTAATGGATGGATTTTTTTTACCCCGTGTACTGTCATAGATCGACCTGTAAAAAATTATTACTGCATTAAACCTGGATTTTTTTTCACATTTTGCAACTCGCCTAAATGCATGTGCGTTTTCCTTCATTGCATTTTACGCAATATTTTACACGATAATTATGAAAATTCTTATTAATAAATCCTCCACTCCGCCCAGAGCGAACGAGTGGAGGGGAGTATAAGAAGAGGAGGAAAAGGAAAAGTGATTGGGAATTCGAATCGCATAATACGGCTCGTTAACACGTTTGAATTTTATAAAGTGTGTCAATTGGTTATTTTTTTCGTATCGTGCCTACTTGACTATGGCCCCTTAAATAAATGAGAGGAGAATATCCCGGCCGCATGATACTCTATTGCAAGGTAAGTAAATAAATAAAGTCAGCTTCCTCCTCGTAGTATGCAAATAATTTGGGTCATTTACGTATAATTCGATAACTCGCAGTTGTGAAGAGATGCTCTCTGCGACGTCGTGCAGAAAGCTTGTGATTGGAAATTTTAACCCCTCGGAAAATGACCCTTCAACATATGCCCTTATATACAAAAGGAGGAATAAGATGCTTCGATCACCCTTTAAATGATGACGTGCTTTATGCAAGGTCCACCACGAGGAATGGATCACCTGCGGAATAACGACAAATTCTAATTGTTTTTTTTACGAAACAGGTTTCATTTCATTCATTCCCGATGGCAGAATGTAAAAATAAGGTTGCATGTGTGTCGCTTGTGATGATCTCACAAGATTGAATGATTCGAGATGGAATATTTGAACAATTATGAGGCGACAATGTGGATATCAATTTGGAATTTCCTACTTCTTATGGAATGCAATTCAACTCATTTTTAGATTTAAATTCCGGGCGTGTTTTCCAGACTTCTAAAAATTATCGTTTTTACACAACTGACAGGGACAATATGTAACTGGATATGGACAATATCGTAAATGCAACTTAACGTTGTTTTCAGGGTTTATATGGACAAAATATTTAGGCATTTAGGATATTTAAATATTTAGGAGGATAATGTGCATGAATGCATGGATAATATGCTCTCAACTTCGTCATAGACCAGCAGGACAAAGACGTCACTTTCCCCTCTCGTCAGATTTTTGCCAGTGCGGGAACCCACTCACAGATTTATTTCTGTGCAAATAAAACGACTTCTTCCGTGAGTGAGAATTCATCTCGGAATCTGATTTCATCGTTTTAATTTATGTGACCTTTTTTAGTGAGCATTGTCCAGAATGGCGGCGACCACCGACCAAATTGGTCGCGACTTGGACGACGAATTACACTTCATCTCCTGGAACATGAACGGTTTACGGACCTTCAACATGTCAGAAGTCTTGACGAAACGTGTCGGAACAATGAATTGTTCCATTTTAGCCATCCAGGAAACCAAATTGACTCGTAAGCCTTATTTTTCTTCCACATTTTACCAATTCCAGCTTGAAATCTATTTTTATGTTGGTAGGAAATATGCTCGAAGCATCACAAGCCTGTGTTGACGACTATTCGTCATACTTCTCATTCAGCAAGAATCGTTCGGGCTACTCGGGTAAGAAATTAATTCAAATTGAATTAATCAATAAATCAAATTGAATAACAGTTTGTCTATATTTTGTGTAGGAGTCGCAAACTATTGTCACACCACTGCCACTCCGATTCGGGCTGAGGAGGGCATCGCAGGGTCAAACTTTCAACCCGCATACAAAGTTGACCTTCCCATCGCCGTGGGGAACTATCCGGACATAGGGGAGGATCAAAGTGCGGATGCCAAGTATGGGGATAACGATGGACGAACCGTCATTACGCAGCATGTCGTTATCGTGAGTGGATTTAATAATTAACGTGATACAAACTTTTGGTAATTATTGTAATAAAATCAGGAACCCGACGGGAGTGAAAAGCTACTGAACGTTATTAATGTTTACTGTCCCCGGTTGCGAGATGATCCCTCGGATCCTGTCAACAATCGCCAGTTTAAGCTCAATTTTCACAACTTTTTGACTGAAAGGGCACGAAATATGGTGAAAAGTGGGCAGTTTGTCGTCATCATGGGCGATTTAAATGTTTCCCATAAACTAGAGGACCAATCTGATGCTACCGATCCGAAGGTATTGTAACATTAAAATTCTCCCGATAATAAAAACGAGACTATCTTACGCACCACCGAGTTGCTATGTAGATAAGCTACAACGACATATGCACAAATTTAAATTTTACCTTTAATTTTTCTGCGAAGAAATTGGAAATTTCCTTAAAAATCAGAATTTTTAAACACCAAAGGTGACTAAATCACTCGCACCAGTCAAGCTAAATTCTGACTGACCCTGATCATAGCTCGCATAGGTCCATGGTCTATCATGGACCATTTTTTAACGTGGTCCATGGTACATAGGAAATGTTATTTCTCCATTGCGAGCTATGATACGGATGGTGAAATAAATTAGAAGGCAGGCGATATCTATCTGCCTCCTATTTTCATACAAATATAAAACTCACTCCTCACAATATGTATATTTACAAATTTAGCCGTTCATAATATTCGAAAATTTATTAAATTTTAACCATTTATCCCTCAGCAATTTGTCCACCACGAATTCCGCCAATGGTTGGACCATCTCTTGTCGAAAGATGAAGAAAGCGGGGTCTGTTTTGTGGACACTTTCCGATCCAAACACCCCGACCGACCAGGCAGTTTTACCTGTTGGAATACACGCTTAAACGCGAGGTATTGTCCGTTAAAGAAGCTGATTTATTTCATTTCCTGACTGCAAAAAACTCATTTTAAATACATTTTTCTCTTCAGACAAAACAACTACGGAGCTCGGATCGACTACATCCTGGTAGACTCTTGGTTCTCAAAATATCTCAGGGACGCCCAAGTCCATCAAGACATCATGGGTTCGGACCACTGCCCCATTTCGGCAACCTTCCACTCGATAAGATTCAAAGCCAATACGTTTATTCCTCGCACCGCGTCGAAATTCTATGCACAGTTTTGTCACCGACAGCCCAAACTCAACGATCTCTTCAAACCAAGTGACGTCCAAGCAGCTAGAACCACTGCCATCCAGAATGAGATTGATCGTAAGAAACGCATCCTCAAACAGTCCAGCCTCGCCTCGTTTCTCGTTAAGAAACCCAAGCTTGAAGAGCCTAATCTTACTGGGCCAGAAAATGATCAGAATTCCATCACCAAATCCACGCCAAACGACGGGAGCAGCGGATTCATTAAGGAAGTTAATGCTGAATCCGTGTCTGCGTGGCGCCTCCTCTTCAAACCTCCAGACACTCCAACGTGCACGGGTCATGGGGAAAAGTGCAGTTTACGAACGGTCTCGAAAGAAGGGGTCAACGTCGGCCGGCAATTTTGGGTGTGTCCTCGCGGCGTGGGAAAACCTGGGGATAAGAACGCGAGCTGCAATTTCTTCAAATGGGTCAACTCCAAGGCGTCTTAACTATCAAATACTTTACTCAAATCCGTAACCTTAGCAAATCATAGACTTGTACAAAGTTACGAATACGTAAATTTATGTATCCAACCTGAATTTTTCGCACTTTTGCAAACTTTCCATAGCCTGGTCTGACCAAAGTGATGAAGTGAATGCAAGTCTGTCTAATAAATTTACCAACTTTTCCTCCTATTATTTTTTCCCTTATTTCTTACCATTATTTATTTATTACAGCATAATGTCGGGGGTCATTTAATTTGTAAGTCAGTTCATTTTAGAATCTACGTTTCCTGGAAAATGCCAGGATACGTCTCCCACCGAGATTCTCATCTCCGGTGGGGGATGATGATCTCATCTCCCTGCCCACCTTTTTACCCAGCAGTGGACGGACTACAACAAGGCCTCGGCATCCTCTTTTCGGTGAACTTTACCCGGCGAGAGATCATGTCGGAGATGAATTCTTAATACCTTTTCCCACAGACGATTTTGTTCTTGTGCTTTGTTCCTGAGGAGGAAACCTCATTTCTTCGGATTTCAGCCCACCACGGCAAACAACACAAATTGGGGTTAAGTCTCTCACCGAGCAAGATTGAAATTCGGGTTGCTATACAAGAACAAAAGCCGTGCTGGTTGAATCTTGAGTTGAGAGGAGTCTGTCTGTAGTGCGGTGATAGGGGAGAAGTCAATGTGGATATTTTATAATGATCCTCCAGCCACCACTGCCTCCGCTCTTCGCAACATATTTTACACAAATTCGCCTTTCCCTAACAAGGAGAATGTAGGACGGAGACCGTGCAGGTGGTCATGGATTTTGCGCAGATTTTACCACTTTTTAGCAGATTTCATATCAAAAAATGTGTCACATATGCAGTTTTCTTAATTGAGTAGAAACTAGTGCATCCGTGTTTAAGGACTACCTTTACTCATTAGGATAGGAAACACACTACACAGCATGTCCAAGATAGCTGCAAGGAACTCGTAACTTTAAAACTACTGGAATAATAGAAATCTGATACGTGCATTGGAGTCCTCGTTCGCTGCATTGCTGCAGAAGAGGAAATTCCAAGAGTTTCATTTCCTACAAAATTGTTTTCTACTCAGAAATTAACTGGCTTTCAACTAAAATTAAGCACCAGAAATGTGTAACACAAAACCTGTTGCAGCTAGAGCGTTTCATTACACTTACCTTGGGCATGCAATTCGAGCATATGACACTTATAATTTACAAGCAGTGGGGGACACGAGAACAACGCAAGGAAATTCACACTTTTGTAAAAATACTTCATGTCCAATTAGCAAACTTATAAAAATATGAAAATAGGATGAATAAAAACCACCATGCACAACTCTGATATCAACGGTTGGAAATCAGCATCTCATCAAGTCGCTATATACCTTTTGACAATAAAGACTTAAATTAGATACAATTAATCAATTTTACCCACAGACATTCCGTGCTTACTAATTTCAAAAATGACTTCTCACACACTAGTCTCAGACGTTACAAATGCAAAAATACAAAATGTATAGTAGCAAAATTTCATCAAAATCGTATCATATTTCTCGCGAACCTGCGTGCTGGCCTGACACTGTGCGAGCCCAGGTACGCAGAGACATAGGTACGTATGGGACCATGGATAAGAATAATTGACTCGAGGAGAGCATAGGAGAAAGCTGTTATTTCGTTCTCCTCCTCGCATACATGTGCCAAAAAGTAAAAGCTTAAAAGTTTTAAGACCAAGCACTCTTCCTCCTCCTTGGAAAAAAAGAAACTCTCGAGATGATGATGGGACGTGAGAGAAAATAAAAGAGAAAGCGAGCACAGGGCCGCGAATAATGGAGGTCACCCCCATTTGACCCCCACCCGAGTGGGAAAACCCATTCAAATCCTGCCTCCCCCAGCAGACGTCCTTCCTGCACGACCCCACACTGGATCGGATCACATCTTACAGCACACTTTCCCTCGCTTACTTTTACTTTTACATTGTGAACGGAAAAACCATTTACTTTTTCTCACATGTTGTTCTTCAAACATTGTTTTGGTATTTCTTTTTTTCTTGCTTCGGTTTCCAAAATTGGGAAAAGTTTGCATCTGGTCGTAATCCCAGCAATCTGGGAGCAACCTCCATATAAGATTTCCTACTAGGCAGGCTAAAAAAAACAGATTGTAATTAAATGACACGCAAATTGTAAAGTATATAATAATTAAATAATTAAAAATATATATAGTTTGTTTATCCTATAAATTTCATTCATGTAAATACACATAATTAATATTCCTTGAATTACCTATAACTTTCTCTGATTTAAAGGTGCAACTTGTGGACATAAATATGCACATGCACTGGCAACGCACTACACTGCAATTTTAAAAAAACTATTTAGTTTAATAGTCAATGGTTGGAAATCAGCATGTCATATTATCAAGTTGTTACCTTCTGACAATAGAGACTTATTGTTATTATTATAATTCAGGAAAAAAGCGAGAAAGGTTAAGCTTTCCCATGAAATTTGAAACACTCGCAGCATAAGATTTTTGATTTGGATTCCCAAGAAATATAAAAAGTGGAGGACTCTTATTTTGAATTCGTCTCACCTTTCTCTCTCGACGGATGGGTATCATTTCAAAATCGTTGTCCACCACGAGTGGGGTCGTGCAGAAGGGACCTCACGGACTCGGCGTATGGTGAGGGGCCAGTAAGGCCCACACCCTGTGTGCAGGGCCCTGGAAGAATGTCATGCTACAAATTGCTCTCCTTCACCTGCTCCTCCTGCTTGTCTTCCTCTTCATATCGTAAAATTTATGAGAGCCGTACAAGCAATAAAAGTTGACTGTCTGGTCCAGGAGTCAGAGTCGAGAGGAGTGAAGGGCTTGACACCCTTTGACTCAGAATCCACTACCTTCGGCACATTCACGTCAAACGTACTCCATTCCTCCCATTTTATTCCTCCAATTTGGGGAGCGTGCGGGAAGCTGTTGAAAGAGGAGCAGGATTCACATTGCGATAATTTCGGAATTCAGAAGGGTGACAAAAGGGAGAGGAAGGTGATACACTGGTTTTTGTAAACATCGCAAATTATGTTCCCCGTTCTCAATTGGTCCAAATAATTGCTGCGAATACCCACAAAAATATGCAAAATTTTGACATAAACACGCTCTATATTAGAAACGATTGGATGTCGCACGGAAAACGAAATGCAAGCTTCTCGAAATTTGTCATTATCCTCGTCCAGGGTCAATCTCTCACGGTCATCCTGCCATATTTTGGTTGTCCCACTGTGGGGATTTTTTGTCACGTCGACATGGGGGGCCCCCGGGTGAAGGAGAAGCCTGGGAAATGGATTAGTCACCTGCTGGACTCGGAGGTGGGAGTGAAAGTGAAAGTAAATAGATTTTGAGTGAGAAATGGGTCTATTTTAGAAATGGATTTTCATTATAAAATATCGAGGAGGAGATGAGTCGCGACATTTATCACGTTGACAGACCAGGAGGAGTGGATATGGTTGACTCAATTTCATAAATTGTCCAACCATCTACCTGCTTCCCACCACAACTTTGGGCCAGGTGAAAGCAGGAGGAGGTTTCTCTGCCCGGTGAAATCCCATGTCCTCACCTTCCCTGCTTTTTAATGAGCTGCTGCGCGACTTGTACTTTACGTAGTTAACTGAGCGTGTAATAATATACGCGGGTCCTCAGGGTTCCCAGTGCTCCGAGGGCCAATAAAATGCCAATCAAATTAGCCATTTCCGCTAATTTCATTCGTGTCTTGTATCGCGACGGCTTAATTTTTCTCAGCCGGGGACGATGGGGCATTCCATGGTTAGGTCAGGTAGCCCATTCCCATCTGGAGGTCCTTCAAGTGAGCAGGGAAAAGCGGAGCCCTGACTTATCTGAGCGGGTGAAATACAAAGCTCAATCTTGTTGATTCCGTGGGACTTTCCGGTCTCAGATTTTGCCAAAAATTGGCAAACCCTGTCTCTGCGTTTCCTACACGGCTGGGGAGAGCCGACCCTCTCTTTGAAACTACACTCCAGAGCCTAATAATGGTGCTCTGGCTGAAAAGAGGAGGCTCCGTAGTTCGTCCCTGCACACACACCCAGCCAACCAACCAACCCGGCAGTGCAATAAATCAGCGACATTTATTCTACATTTACATTTATTTCTCTTTCTCAGACCTTTCGAAACCCACTTCTCCCTCTTCATTCATTCCAACAAGTTAAGAAAGATATTCCAAAAAAACACCATTCTTTCCCACTTCCAGCCCCATTCTAGGCCGAAACCAGGGGGACACGATTCCTAATACCCGGTTTTCCTTAGCTGGTTTTTTAATACATATTTAACGCAGTTTGATTTTTTTGGTAATACTGATCTCATGTACGCACTCCTTCAGGTACTATGGTCAGGTCAGCACAACAAGATTCATAAACTACCAAAATGTGTGCACAATTTTGGTGAAAATCCAAGTAAAACCAGTTTGGAAATCTTTCCAAGTGCGGCAAATCAAGGGCATGTCGTCACACATATTTTTAAAAATTACGCATTTTTAACTCAGACTCCGCAAATTGTGCCGCTTCCTATCATTTAGTTGAAAAATCCAACATTCTGTAAACTGGGGAATGAAATGTCAATTTGGGATACAAAATTGGAGAAAGTCGCCACCCGCAGATAAATAAGGGACGGTGGAATGATTACCATTTGCGGTGAGGTGATACTATCTCTCGGCTTTTCAGTTTCTCCAATTTTCAAAAAATTCCAACATAACCCAACTTGCAAATTGCAATTAACGCTCTGCATTTGATCAGGCACCAAATAAAATTGTACTAGTGAGCAGCATACTTTCTCCACCAGATGAGCCCTTATCTCGCATACTTATCATCTGCCTACTGCACTACTTTAAATCACACTTGGCCCAAATTTCCCCTCCCAAGAATTCTGGCGACTCTCTCTGTGTTAAGATTAGGCCAAGTCGAGGCGCCGCAAATTAAATGGGGGCCATACTCGTGACAGGGATGGAGTGAAATATGGATGCAGATATTCTCCCCTCCTCACATTTACATCACATTTGGTCCACAGTGCCGAAATTCGAAATGGAATTAAGTACGTGTGGTTTGTTGCGGGTTGTGCGGAAGGGACGCCTATTTTCTCCTTTCCCCCTTCGCATCCCCCCACGACCAAGGGAGGCTGCGCAATGGGA